CTAATAGTCGAAAACCGCGATATCTCACGAACGGTGAGTCGTGAGAAAAAAAATACCTGAACAATTTTACTACTAACAAACGTTCTATTTCTATATCCGTATCATAAAGCCAGTCTGCCAAATTATTAACCTAATGTTTACAACTGGTAAATGTCGCTCCCATTTCAAAATTTCTTTAATAAAACCCATTTATAAAAAAGGAGAAAAAAATACTCTTGATAATTGCAGGCCAATAAGTCTTATTTTTAATGTGACAAAAATTTTCGAAAAAGCCTTAAAAGTTCGGCTAGCTTCTTTTTTTACTAAAAATCATATAATATCTAATTGCCAGTTTGGTTTTACTGATGACAAGTCAACTAATGATGCTATTGCTATGCTATCGTCAAATATATATTGATGCTTAGATAATTCAAGACCATGTGCTGCAGTGTTCATTGACTTAGCAAAAGCATTCGATACTGTAAGCCACTCGCGGCATTTGACTAAACTATATCTAGCTGGTATAAGAGGACCTGCTCACTTAACTAAATGAAAGTCACCTGAAAAATTGACAACAAATGGTAGAGATTAATAACTGTAACCTACGGAATTCGGCGGTTCCAGGACCCATACTTCTTCTTATATACATAAATCAACTACTTACTATTGATGTTTTCGGTAAAATCATCTCTTTTGCTGATGAAACAGTTTTGCTTGTTAAAGGTAACAATTGGGAATAAGTGGTGAACCGCATTAGTTCGGACTTGCAATTTATGTCATAGTGGCTTGACAATAATTTACTAAAATTGAACTGAGGTGGCTTTTAATTGAAGAAAATCCATTTAACTATATAAATAAGAACTAAAAGTTCAGATTTTCACGAAATTATCTATTTTCACATGACAATTGTTTCGACAACACCTTTATCAAATGTACTATTTACAAACTACCTACTACTATATATACAATTTTTGAAAGAAGCTGAAATGGGTTTCTTGGTTATTTATTTGGTATTTCAAATTGCCGAATATGTTCCAAAAACATTTGTTTTTTTAACAAATGTCTACAAAATAAGGTTTTTCCCAAGTTTATAACATTAAAAACCAACAACAGAAGTCCCGCTGCAAGGAAAGCCCAGACCCAAGGCCAGACGAAATGGATGAAGGAAGAACGAATACACGAGTACAGAAAACTGGATACAAACAACATTTATGTAAAAGAATTATCTCATAGACTTAATCCCATACAATTTGACACATTCCATTCTACAGTTCGAACAGACATTTCATCTATCATTCATTAGAAGTTTCTTCGACAAAAACTAAAGCATTCTTCTAAACTATATGGGTCTATTTCTACGAGTAAATTAAAAATTGTTTTCTTTAACATTTTGAAATCTTTAATCGTCTTTATGCTGTTTAACACCTAATCATTGAAATTACGCACCTATCTCACTCATAGTCAGTCTTTGTCTGGGATAAGTAAGTGTACTTCCTGAGTCAAACTATTTTCGAAAAGGTTTCTGTTTTCAAAGACGAACAGTATGCTCTCTTGTATGGAAATTGCAGCTAAAGTTAAAATTTTATTTTCCTTAAATTTACCCCCACATGACTCTTGAAAGTTTCACTGCAATATAATTCGCAGGGCTCTGTTTTGGCAAATAAAAATTATTTCTATGTCTCTGCGATTTCCGTATATAACAAGATTGTTTTCGCTAGGCAGTTTAGAAAGTCACTACGCAGCTTTGTATTTTTAAGTCTTTGTGAGCTAGAGTGACGCATTTTTTTTTAATGCTCCTGCGGACCACTATGGAACTTTTGCAAAATTGATGTAATAAAGTGTCTTCCACGTCTCGCAGAACTGCAAAGTCAAGATAAACTTTGTTAAATATTAACAAAATGGATGAAGGAAGAACGAAGACGCGAGTACACAAAACGGGATGCAAATAACATTTATGTAAAGATAATTCATTCTGAATTATCTCATAGACCCCTAGAATTTGACACATTTGATTATAGAATTCGAACAGACATTTCATCTATCATTCATCAAATGTTTCTTAGACAAAAACTAAAGTTAGACAAATGAATTTCTAATACAAAAGTATCTAATTATACCGACCACCAATTTTACAACAGGTTCATAAACTTAACACACACAACATTTTCTAAAAATGACGTTGAATTTCTGGAAAAAGGTTTCAACTTTAACTTACAGCACTCGTACATTAATAGAGAATTAGACTGTTTAGGGATCAATCGTGAATTAGCAATTAAGGACATTAACGATTCTAATTTAAACAAACTCTCAATTAATAGATAAAAACAAAAAATTTCTCAAATGCCACTAGTACAAACTATCAAAAACTAAGTTTCTGAAAATAACATAATACTTACACGTGCAGATAAATGGAAGACAGTCATAGCTATCGATTCCCCAGAATATATTTCAAAAAACCAACAATTTTTTTAAACCAGAACTTTTGCAATGTATCAAACACGATCCTACCGAGTTATATCAAAGACAAGTCAAGTAATTACTAACTCCATATTAGTGAGAAAGACAAGTATTTTTTAGCAATTATGAATCCACAACCGCGAGAATTATATTCTTTAGTTAAATTACATAAACAAGTGTCTTATGTAACGGCTCCAGCAGTTAAACTCTCAACAAAATTCGTAAATATTTTAAAGTTCCATATAGATTTAAAACCAAAAATTGCAATAAAAAATTCTATTGAATTAATCAACAAAATTAAATATATCAAAATCCCTTCCAAAGCAACATTATCGTCTTTTGATGTACAAAACTTATTCCCCAGTATTCCGCCTATGGATGTGATAGATTTAGTAGATTTCACCCTAACTCGTAAACACGTTAACCCATTGGGGAACCAAGATTTATTACATTGCTTAATAGTATCTTTAGTCCAAAATTATTTTGAATTTAATGGACATATTCACATCTCTAAGGAAGGTTTGATTATGGGAAACCCACTTAGTCCTTTGTTAGCCGAGATTTTTATGGATAATTTGGAAAATATCATACTAGAACATCCTTTAAGTAAAAGTTTTCTATGGAGGTATAGAAACGTGGTTGATGTCTGTGCTTGCTTTGTTGGAACGGACGGACAATTACATTAACTTGTTACATAATCATATAAAATTCACTATCAGGATTGAACAGGTTAACTCTATTAATTTTTTAGACGAAAACGCAAAATAAATTCGATTTTTCCATTTACCATAAACCTTCACACATGGACACAGTCATACATAACAGCTCAAATCACCCTTATACACACAAAATGGCTGCATTTCACTCTTTTATACCACAAACTTCTTAATACGCGACTCTCGACAGAAAAATACAACAAAGAACTGAATATGATTGCAAATTGCACTGAACAATGGCTACAATCCGTCCATTATCGACAAAATTATAAATAAAAAAATAAATCCAGACAACAAGTAAACTCTATTTATCCGAAACCTAATACGGAACACGAACAGTGAAAAAGTTTCAAAACATTTGTCAAAATGTGATTTAAAAATAGCTAACTTATAACTAATTATGCTACACACTTAACAAAGAAAAACACATTTTTGACGAAAATTTTGATATTTTACACACAGCCACAAAAAGCCATGGAGATTAACAAAATGAGGCATTCAAATGTATTGCTTAGCGATCAATTAGATTTAAATAGACACGGTGTTGTAGAAACAATTGTCATGTGAATATATATAATTTCGTGAAAATCTGAACTTTTAGTTCTAATGTATTTTGTTTACTTAAAAATATTGTCCATTGTCGATTGCTTTTATCATCTTTATTAGCAAAATCTTGCCTTGGTGACGCTTCATGGAATGGATTACGCCTCGATCCAAGGATTCCAGTTTTGAACTGGTATTAGGTGCCATAAAAACCAGTTTGATTTGGTTTAACGGCACATTAGGATGTGCCGGACAATCATCTACTAGAAGAATAATTTTTCTGTTCTTCTTCTTCAATTCTGTATTCCATTGGAGCAGCTCTTCGGTAAACGCTTTGCTGTTTGACCCGTACTTAACTGGTAGGGTCTTCTTTTTAAAACATCTTGGATTTACCGATTTGCCGATAGCAAACAGCCTTCTCCTTTCTGTCCCAGACATTTTTGCAGTAAGCAGAACTGTTATTCGAACCTGGGACAATTTTCGACCTGCACACCTTTTTTCTTGGAATTTCAATGCCTTAAAAACAATTTTTCCTCCAGAGATACAATTTCTCTTCTTAAAACGTTCAATCCAACTTATGGAACACACAAAATCTCTTTCTTCTATTCTACTTCCAATTTCACCTGCCCTTTGCTGAAGAACTGGATCAGTTATGAGAATATTTTCTAATCGTATTTTTCGTTCAAAGTTAATGCGTTTCGTTTTGAAGGTCTGTCATCGACATTCTCCACGAAATCTAAATCCCAACCGAGAATTAATGGGAGAGAATCTCCGAAAAAGTTCATTAAAAACAGAAAATTTATCTTAATCTTCACTATATCCGAAAGTTCCGGGTTCACTATAAACAGTAAAAATTTTCGTTTTGTCTTACGAGAGTTTCTGAGTGTATTTGGAAAAGTGTAGCATTATAAGAGATTGTTCACAATAAACATGTTTACTATATCCGAACTCCGCTGTAAATATAACGAAAATATAAAAAAAGACGAATATTTGTCAGACACCTTCAATTATTCCCCCTTACCCCCTACTTCGCTTAGCGGTTTCAATATGGGTCACCGCGCGAGGCGCGGGGCCGATGACCGACGCCGGCGACGGAAAGCGTCGCCCCCCCACCCCCCCGTTCGACGTTCCCCCCTCCACCCTTCACCAAGGCAGCAGACTGTACGGTCGAACAGCCGACATTTTTTTTTCGATCTAAAAATATTCGCCCCCGTTACGAAAAAGGGGGTCACGCCGAGGTGACGTCACGCAGAGGACATTTTTCTCGTTTCCAAAAAATATATATATATAAAAAAAAAGACTCACCGTTCGAAGATGTGTTCGGCGCTCCTTCTGAAGCGGAGAAGGGGTAACGAGGCGGGCTCCTCCGGGTGCCCCCCGGAGCTGGAACAGTCCCCCTGCTCGAAACCTACAAACAAAAAGGCAACGTAAAAATTTGATACAATTTTCCAAAATGTTTAAAAATTAAAAAAGAAAGAGGTCCGAAAAATTAGTGAAAAATAAATAAGAAAAAAAACAATTTAACAGAAAAGTTCAACAAAATTTTAAAAAAATCCGAAATACGAAAAAAAAATGTTGGATTTCGAAAACTCGATTTAATATTTCAAAAAACAAAAACATTGTTAGTTTTGGTTGGTTTTTGGTTACTTGCATTAGCGCCATCTAGTGTCAAGTGTTGCGATTATTTGTGAAAATGTAAAATGAATAAAGGACGCCTCGTTTTGGTATTGCAACTTGGAAAAAAAAAATTTTGTTTGAACTACCTTTTTCTATGTCGTCAAATTAAGGGAGGGGCAAGGGTCAAATACTGATTCAGAACTTGGTTTAGTTTTAAAGAATATTTATGGGAGCTTCGACTGGCATGTCAATACCACGATATTAATTCTTTTACGGGCCGATAGGAGCCGCTTCATGTTAAAAATAACTATTTTAATGATTTCCCCGAAAAATTCAAATATAATGGTATAAATATTTTCAGCTACGACGAAAGAGCGCAAAAAAAACACAGCGAGTAGATATAAATAAAAATTAATTTAAAAACACCGTTTTGCGTAGGTATAATAGAAGCAGCATTAGAGATATAGTAAAGATTCGATACTACTTTTATTTTATTTTACATATAAAACATAATTGAGAGCAAAGAATCATTGGTCCGCTCTGGTTTATGATTTCTAACGCCATGAACTGTATAAATTTATTTTAGTTCAAACAAAACCCAACTACGCGTATAGCAAAATCATTAATGGCGCCCTAAATGTTCAAAATGGCGTTCTCTCTGTATAGAAAGACTGGTTTGAGCCATTTAAATGCAAAGAATACGCGTATTGCATAAACGAAATAGATCAGGCGATCCACAATAATTAAATTGCGAAAAAAATTATAAATAAACCTAATGCACCTTTTATGATTATAATTAATTACATATCTGACCGTGGTGATATACTGCCTATTGGGAACCCATTTCGTTCTCTAAAGGTGTTTTGGATGGATGGATGGATATAGTTTACGCGGATTCTTCTGTTTTGTCTTCTTCGTCGTGCCGTTACCATGCCAACCGCTAAGCCTACTTAGTTACTTTACCCCTTTCTCCAATAATATTATATATTAATCACATTGACGATTCATTTTTTTAACTATTATTGATTATTGGCAAAATCAAGCATTTAGCGCCACGTATGTGGTCTCTGATACCATTACTATGGCACGGTTGAAAAATAAGTTTAATAAACCTTTTCCACTACTTCCTGTGTTTTTTTACCCCCACCATTCAGAGATAGAAAAAAATAGTTCAAATCAAAACAGTGTCCTTATCTAGGAAATTCTTTAATTTCGAATATAAAAAAATATTTGTCAAAGCACCTCTTCGAGTTCAAGTTTATAAAGAAACATTGCCAAATGTTCCTTTACCTCCTGAACCCGTAATTACTCGATGGAGGACGTGGATAGACGCAGGCTTATTTCACGCGAGTCACTTTAATCAAAAATAAAAAACATTGTATTAGACTCGATTGAAAAAACTAAAAATTTATATGAAAAATGTGAACTTATAGATCAGTTGACATACATCAAAGCTAATTCTAGTTTTCTGAGTAGCTTTATTAAAAAAATTGGAGAAAGAAAAAATGTTTTTGTTAGAGTTGAAAAAAGTTCCGAGCAGAATGGGGAAAATTATTCTCGATAAACTTAATAGTGTAACAACATTATTTGGAACCAGAACATCGTGCTTCATTTAAATTCGCGCCAATTACTTACGTCGAAAGGGCGTTCTAAAAATACAAAAGCATATTAAGTGATAAAAGACAAAAATTAACCATATGAAATTTAGAACAGCATTTAATTGTCAATTGGTACAATAATAATAATAGGTCTGATTGTAAAACTAAATAGTTTTTACCATAAAGCATTCATATAGGTGTTTAGTATTATAACTTTTATGCCTAAAAACCGTAAATATAATGTAATTTTTTCCGTTGTATGACTATTCTTCCCTTGATTTTCAATAAACAATATATGTAAGAAATAAAAAAAGGAATATATTTGACATATTTTTTGGAAATATTAATATTATACATATACATATTTATGCGCATATTTTAAACATTTTCTGTGTATAAAAATCCGAACTCTACTTATAACATAAAAGGGTCACCGTTGTTGCAGGTCTCCTAATATGGGATCTTGGAGTGTTACTCGATATTAAACCATGTTTCATACATTGTGTCTAAATCACTTGAGATTTTGGGCTACTGTTCTGCTCCCGCGCGCGTCCACAGCTAGATTATCGTTCCTGTGCGTGATCACCTTCACCTTCACCTTCGTCCACATACAGGCCATAGAAAGAGTGCGGCATAGGTTCCTGCGGTATATAGCGTTTAAGGAGCACCAAGGACTTGAGGACGTCGATTGATATTGATCTCACTATTTTTTATAATCTACAGCACTCAAATTCGCATGTAAGATTGGGCTTCTATCTATCTATTTCATTCTGTTTTATTTTTATTTTGTTTTTTACCATTTTGTTTATGCGAATCTTATTTTATATTGGGCGGTTGACCCGTTGACAAATAAATAAATAAATAAATAAATAAACATAGACGACCAGAGCGTCCACGATACCTCCCCCTACTTCCACCAGGAGCCGAATTAAGACGAAGGCACCCAAGGGCGCGGCGCGACGCCCAAGACGCCACGGGGCGGAAAAGGGAGGGGTGGGGGGCAAAAATCGATAGACGGGAACACGCACCAACGCGCTGATAACCGAAGGCAGGCGGGTACCCATTTTTTTTCTGTTATAATCAGCAAGAGTCCAGACCCTGCACCCCTCACCCCGCCGGGCCCCACAAACACGCGAAAACAGCGAAAGCCTTGATAGCGTACCGAAAGCTCCTTTACTAGGGCAAATGTTATGTTCACCACATTTTCACCACATTTCAACGCCCCCGTGCACTCACACGAACGCATCGCCGCCCTCAGCCGCGTTCCACGCGTCCCGAGAGGTTTTCCTCCTTCTGGCGTCGTGCGGGTGGAGACTTTAAAAAGCTACGGTGCGCCTCCGCAACGACGCGGGGGCGCCACCAGCGACCGGCGATCGATACGGGCGTGCGTGAGGGGGACGAAGCAAGGGCGGCCTCGAAGCTGTCCGCTCCCCGCCCGCGACGCCAACCGAGATTTTTGGAAAATAAAAAAAAACAGCTCGAACCCTCACTATCGAATTTCTTATATTTTAACCGTATTCGGCGGGTCTGCAACCCGCTACGCGCAATGCCTGCGACGCCGGCTGCATAATCACTTTGCAATTCCTGGCATTTTTCGAAACTCTTATAAATCTGGCGTTGCACGCGGGAAAACACGAAAAAAAAAACGAAATTCATTCATCGCGAGGCTACTTTTACTTTTTCACCGATAAAAATGATAGGTCAGTGACAGCGACGCGAACGAACCTGGCACCACAAAACTCGACGGAAAATATCACTTTAAATATAACGAAATCGTTGGGGCGACTTACCTTCGTCGGAATCGTCTGGGCCGTCGTTTATCACGGAACGATCTAAAACATGGCGAGACGTCAGACGACAACGCGCCGACAAAAACATCCCGGAGGTTTACCTGTACCAGCCATTTTACCACTATGCTTCTGGAGAACTCGCAACCGGGCATTTGCCGTGACGCGCGCTGGAATCGGAATGCGACGTTTTGGCGGCGACCACTTTCGATTTGCGATCGGGCGACAATCGAAACGAAAATAACTGAATTTTCAAACCAACGAAATCGACACTGTGTTTATTAGGCGGACATTTAAGCGACGTTGCCGTAGCGTGGGAGAAATGTGCGAGACGGCCCGCTCGCCCGTTCTGTGGTGACGATTCTCGGCCACGGACCACAATACGAACGAAATACCGGAAACTTTATAATTAATCAAGACGTAGCGACCCTGCGTATGCCCATAAAACAGGATATTTTATAATAGTTTAATGATAAGAGACTACTGTCCGTGCGACTCAATTGTTTCGTCAGGAGGAGGGATTGTCTTCAACCACGAGTCGGAACCGCCAGGGCACATGGAGCAGTCGACCAAGTGACTAGCGCAGGATCTGCAAAAACCGCTGAAACGGAGTGTAAACATAACGTGGCTATTTTTTTATGATCTATAGGGCAAAGCAAAGACGGGACAAAAATTGGGAATAACAGTAGTCCCTGCCGATAAAACAGGAATTTGCGGCATTCGAAAACCAGCATGGCCGCTGACAGGTCGTCGAAAGGATGCGTCATTCTCGCGGCAATATTTTCTCAAAATATGCATAGATCGCATTAAACGTTCCGAGAAAACGAGTTAATGGTATGGAAATCGCAGTCTAGTTGTTGAAGTCGTGACTTTCTTTTGCAATTTTTACCGTGGCGGGGTCGTTTTCATGACAGTTTTAATAAAATAAATTCCGCGTTTTTTTTTTTTAAAATAAAACACCCGCCTTGTTCATAACAACGAATATATATTTCAATGCGTAAAAGGAATTACAAAAAAATATACATCGCTCCCCGGAAAATAAACTCTGAATAAGGTCAAGTTCAACCACCGGGACATGATTTGGATATGTACAAAGCGCGGTCGGTCCGCACACAAGTAAATACTATAAATATATATACAGTGAGTTAAACGAATAAAAACAAACGTTAAAAATTAACCCGTTTCTTAAACGATAGGTAAATATAACAAAGTCCGTGCGACTCAATCGTTTCGTCAAGAGGCAGGATTGTCTTCGACCACGAGTTGGAACTGCGAACGACACATGGGGCACTCGACCAACTGACTAGCGCAGGACCCGCAAAAACCGCTGAAACAGAATATAAACGTGTCCATGGGGCAAAGCAGAGACGGTAAACCACACTATCTCAATTTAAGCTTCTTTTGGGTTACCGTCTTTGACGTGGGGAACCGGTGGACTTACGAATGCTCGCAAGGAATGAGCCGAACGGATGCTTTCTGATCGTAACACAGAGTGCAACTGTCCTCGCCTATATTCTGCTGTCTCAACTGGTTCAGGTAAATGTGACGGGGTAACACGATTTTTTCCTCGCTCCTCAGCGTCCCCTGCTCATTGAAAGACGAGTAGGGGACATCGGGCGGGTACCGGAACGGTTCCGAGCCGAAATTGAACCGGCACTGCTGGAACGACATGAAACTGGCAGCAGCGAAGAATCCCGACCTAAAACGAGCACACTACTACTCCAGCAAGGCAAAAATAAATTCATATTCATATAATTCAAATCGCTTCAGTTTCAAATCTATAGCAGTTGACAGAATAAAATAGGCTAGGCTAGAAAATAGTGGTACCACTCTGGCGGTACCAATTTGTTTTTCATCTTTTATTTAGTCTAAAGTACTATGAACTGTGATAAGTGGTCTAAGAATACAAATAAATTGAACACTGGATATTGGATACCGACAGCTGCTCTGGTAGCTCTATAGATTAATTTTATATAGAATTCCAGCAGCTTTTCCAAGGAGAATGTTAATTTTTTTTTATATATATCATTTATAAATGGGGCGCCTACGATGCGACCCTTTGGCACACCACATATTACGTCTACTGATTCTGACAGAAAGTTATCCAATTTAACAATCAGTTTAGGATCAGATAAACAACTACCTAACCACGAAGTTTATTTATATCTGATAGCCCCCCCCCCATCCCTGGATCTATGGCCACGAATTGAGGTGTCAAAAAGTCGCAAGTTGGGCTTTTCAGAATTCTGATTACACCGGATTGAAAAGCGAGCTTGAGAAAACTGGCTTTCCTGGATTCTTTAACCTGCCTCTCACTGAGCTCCGCCCCCCTCAGACAATATATAAGCAGGTACAGAGTACAGTTTCAGACAAGCAAGCGACTCAGCAAAACCCGACGCAGGGGGAATCCAGAAGTTTTTATGCAATCCCAGGATGATGAGGATCCCTCAATATTCGACATCATTAAAGGCTACTCCCAACAATCCTGACAAGCTTACTCAGTTTTAGTTAAACTCTCAGAAGTCAACAGAAGTCACCAGTAGATTTGTAAATAGTATTGCATTAGTCTGTGCAAGTCTCTTTTAAAAATTGATAATAATATTCTTCAATATCTTCTAACTAACCACGAAGTTCAAGGGTTCATCAATACTTAATAGCCCCTCTCCAGAATCTCTGACCTCTAATTGAGGCGTCAAAAAGTGGGAGTTAATCTGTTCAAAATTTTGATCTATAGATGGTTATACCAGGTTGAGAAGCGAGATTTAAAAAATACATAGACATAGTGACATAATCATCCAAATGGCTTCTTCAGAGCTAGACTGCCCCTACCTGAGCTCTGCTCAAAACGATATATAAGCAGGTACAGAGTAGAATTAGAGCCGATTTCAGTAAAGCTCTGAAGAAGCCCATAAAATGATTAATGAAATATGAGCAAATTCGACGCAGGAGGAATCCAGAATATTTGTTGATAGTATTACAGTACCCCGGGGAAGTTGCATTGAAAAACTGATCATTCTTCAATAACCTCTTGTGTGCCCGTTTCTTCAGGATGATATCAATGGCTATGTGAATGATATGGCCTCATGTTTTCATCATGCATTTTTCCTATTATTTGCTGAAGACCTAAAATTCTATATGAGAGCCCAAAACACTGAGGACTGTATAAAACTCCAATCTGATTTAGAGATAGGTATCTCTATGGTGCAATTTTAATGGAATGGAACTAAATATTAATAAATGCCAACTAATGAAATTCAACATACATTATTGACAAATTGACTTACACACACCATGTTTCTTCTATTGTCTCTAAGTCACTTCAGATTTTGGGCTTTATTAAGCATTGTATGGTGGACTCCCACAGTATTCTGTCTCTCAGATTACTGTTCTGCTCCCTTGTGCGTCCACATTTGAATTATTGTTCTAGTGTGTGGTCACCTTCATATAACGTCCACATACAGGCCATAGAAAGAGTGCGGCATAGGTTCCTGCGGTATATAGTGTTTAAGGAGCACCAAGGACTTGAGAACGTCGATTTGATATTGATCTCACTATTTTTTATAATCTACTGCACTCCCCCGCCCCCGCCAGACTAGAATAAAACACTCCTACCAGGTGGAGTTCTATCATACTAACTATGGGCAGAGTTCTTTTCTTACAAGATCAGCCGGATTAGAAAATCACTTTTCAAACCAACTGAACTGCTTCCAGAGTGCAGAAATATTTAAGAATTAAAAGAATGTCAGGGAAACTGTTCCATTGCCTGACTTCTGAATAGTATTGTATAACAATGTGTCGAAGCCTCGCTACTGTACTACATGGAAAACCAATGTTTGTCATCCTAGGGTTGGGAGTTTATCTATCTATTTCATTCTTATTTTATATTGGGCGCTTGGCCCATTGATAAATTTAGTTCACAGTCTCGAGTTTCTTTTTGTTAAAACAATGTATCAAGTTGGCAACTTACTTGGCCATGGTGAACACGTGCACGCTGGGCGGCAGACTGACCCCGTTGACCGAGAACACTATCCGCTGGTTGTCCAAGTCCAAAAGGCACCCCAATATGTCGCCCGCTTTCCACCTGGGTAACAGTTGCGGATCCGATTTTGCGTTGTACCATATCAATTTCCGGCACCCGTCGTACGATAAAGAATACCGGTCGTCCCCTATCCCGTAACCTTCCTGGAAACCGCTGGAAATAATAGAAAACTGGGCCGGGAATCCTGCGGCCTTACGTGATTGAGAAAGTTGCTGTGTTTGGTGGCCCATCCAATTTGCATCACGCCGGGCGTGATGATCAACACCTCGTAGTACCATGTACCCTGGTCCGCTTGGGCGGTGCACCGCACGCTCTCGAAGGAGTACGCGTCGCACCTGGCCTCGAGACCGTCTGGCGAGATTTTCAGATATTCGCTCACGTCTGAGGTGTTTAGCATCGCGTTAACCCCATCCATATTGACCGACTGATAGGAATAGTCGCGACCCTCCATCACGACTGCAATGGGACAGTTCGACAGAAAACCAACCAAAACTAATACTTACATATGTTATCCAAAATCCACTGGGCGCAGAACCCAACCTGCCTCTCCACGTAATCCTTGGCATCCTTCCACTTCTCTAAGCCCAAAATGGGACAAGGCTGCACCTGTCCGATCCTGTTCAAGATCGTCACCTTATTTTGACTGGTCTGAGCAAACTTCTCCAATGCTATCAGCGAAAATAAAATCACATTGGGGTCCGTGTCGGGCTCCTGAAACCCGCGGTTTTACGACCCCGTCGGTATAATCCCACCACCACGCACTAACCAGGTTGGTTAAAAGGTAATCGAGGACACTCTCCGTTAAAATTTCTGAGTTCCTCGGTCCGGCCAATTTTTCTGCTATACTGCCCAGTGCCACGCAAATGTTACGCTGCCGCGGGGGGCTATTTCGTCCCGTTAACGCCGTCTCTGTCGATAACGAAAACATATTTACCACCTTGATGATGGACTCTTTAGAGGGCAAGGGACAGTCGTCGAGGAGCAATGTGATCACTGAAGGTCCCAGAGGGTCGGATATAGGTATGACGTTGATCATGGAATTCACTACCTGTATCCATCCTTCCTCGTTGTCGGCAATATTGTGTAGTAGTAGCATAGAAGCAGGCGGTTCCTGCTCACTAGAAACCAGTTAATCAGTTAAACTATAATCGCTGTAAAATATTACGCGCGTTACTTGTCAACTAGGGTTTCTATGACTCCCAAGGTTTCAAGAACGAGGCGATCGACGACCGCCGCTTCTACAGTTTTGAGCGGCCTGCCGTAAATGACTGGAGGCCGGATTGGGGTTACGGGAGACAAGACGCTCACGTCCTGCCCCACAGTGGTAATCTGCGGCACGTAAATGTCGCGTTCCTCCGACTTTTCTTTGCACCAACACATACCCATACCGTTTAGTAATGCGGTCCGATAATAATCTACATTATTTTGGGACGCACTTTGTTTCCTACGTCGGGCTCGGATTCGACGACCATATCGCTTTTAATTTAACACATACATATACCAGGTGCGCTTTAAAAAACATCGGATTCATTACCATTTAACTAACCAGCTGATTCTACTGCCGGATTTGATTTAAACCTCTTTTCTCATCGCTTTGTCATTTAGGTAATTTGGTTAGGAATTTTAACCCACCTTTTTGACACACACGGACCACAAAAATATTTCCTTTCAAGGGCATATTATGTATTGCGGATGACAATTTCATTCATTTAAAAAATTGGGAAGGTAGTTTATTTACTAATTAATTGGTTAAATAATGTTCGTTTGAGCTTCTCTTTAACGAGCTAAAAATCGAACGTTGTTTCCGCACACGGATCATAAAATCAATTCCCTTAACACACCTGGCTCCGAAATACGTTTTGCGAACAGCGATTTTATTCGTTCTAAGAATTTTAGGAGGTAGTTTATTTAGAAATTTATTAGTGATTCGTCAATGAATCAACCGTTTAAGTTACTTTTCAGCGGATCAAAATCCGAAACGAACAGAACATTTTTACTGTGGCCGCGTTGCGTCCATTATTCTCTGCTAAGAGGCACGAAAAAGTTTGGTGATGTAAATAATTCGAACAAGTACAAACAATATATACGTAAACAAATCTCAGGTAATTTACGCGAAGTAGAGCACGTTTCGCGGGTTCTTGGTACCGTTTTGCACCAGGCGAACGTGACAGATATGAACCCTTACGAGGTTATGTAAACACTGCGGACCAAAACGTTTTTCAGGAAAGAACATGCCTTCTTCGGTTCGTCCCAAAGGTTCGGGCGGTGGAAGCAGAGCCCCGCCGGTCACCCCCATGTCCGAGCGGCAACAGATGGCGCTCCTCATGCAAATGACTTCGTCGAATGAGTCGGGGTCTCGGAGTCCGAGCTCGGGATCGCGGACGAGAGACCGGAACGAAAGAGGTGAAACCCCATTGCATTTAGCGGCTATTAAGGGAGACGTAGAACAAGTTTGTAGATTGTTGGCACACCGTGCTGATCCTAATGTAGCCGATTTTGCGGGTAATTCACACACATCACGCTACATTTATTTAATGATTTTACGTCCGACTGCTAAGGCGGGTCGGTATTCCCTTAGCGACGCGCTCGTGTTCCCACAGGTTGGACGCCCCTACACGAAGCATGCAATCACGGTTGGTATGAGGTGGCGTTCCGACTGCTCCAAGCTGGGGCGAATGTGAACGCGAAAGGTTTAGACAACGATACCCCTCTGCACGACGCGGTCATTAACGGGCACTTGAAACTGGTGAAACTGTTGGTGGAAAAGGGCGCCGATATAAACGCCAAAAATTCAAAAGGCAAAACTCCCCTGGACGTTGCTGTGGCGAGCGTTCAACCGTACTTACTCAACCCCGGCTTACCCTTGCCAGGTAGGTTAAGCTTACTGTTAAATTGCGTATGTTTTCCAATTCCAAGTGGAATCAAAATTTTTTCAAAAAGGGAACGAACAGTAGCACCTGTACTCTTCTTAAATTAGTTCTTCTAAAGGTTCTTAACAAATTCTGCTTCTATGTTATTTAATAGTTAAGAATTATAAAATATAATTCTAAGGATATTAGGTTCCTTTTCTTATTTTCGGGATTTTTTGGATTCACGAATCTATAATTTAGCCCGGCTGTGGTCGCGATTCCACATGAAACTTCAAAAATTGATGGCAATCAAAAAATAACTAAAATTTTAATGTCCAATGTTTGTGTGTTTGACTGTAAAACAAAAAAAAAGCGTTTTGTCCTGCACAGGTTGAGAAAAAATGACTGTATGAATGTATTTTCCCCGTTGTTTCCACTCGTACGCTAGAAATTATCAATTACCCATAAAGTGGTCTCAAATGTGAGTTGTTAGGAATTATTCTTTTGGTATCATAATTGTTTCATGTAGATTCACATACTTAAATATTTGCATTTCATTAAAGAACACCCTGATCTATTATTACATAGAAAATACATGAATCCACCTCTGAATATGGGCACATAGTCTGTCTCAATCTTCATCGCGTTGACTTGTGACGGACCCTTTCCAATAGAACTTCAACAATGGCTTTTTTTCCTATACATTTCTTGAGTGTTGACCATTTGGTGGCACTGTTCAAGAATCGTTTTTACTGTGCGTTTTGAAAAAGAGAATATAACAATGTCACGTCGAAATCACTTGTCGCTCGGTGCAAAACAGCATTGTTTTTGATCAAACGGAAGTTGTTCATACCTTGTATAAAATGAAAAAGAAGCTAGAAGAAGAAACCGACATAAATAACAAGCCACCTTCCATAGAGTTGTCTGCAAAAAGGAAAAATGGGATTTAAGTACCGCAAAATAGTCAAAAGGCAAGTGGTAATGTATGAATAAATAAAATTAAACTTCGAACAAAGGTGTGCTGTGCTAGAGAATTTAAATTCAGTACTGCCAAGCTAAAGAACTGTCAAATTTACTTAAGAAAGCACCCCATAGATCCGAAAAATTAAAACAAATGAAAATGTCCCTTGTCAACAACTTTATGACCCTGATTAATTATACCTACATATACATAAAAGTCACATTTATTAACATGGTATTAAAAGGAAGCCGAAAATACTTATCACCATTTATAACTTCAGTAAACTCGAAAAATGACGGTTTTTTATTTTAACCGTGCCGCAAAAGCTTGTTGACGAATAGTTTGCCTTGGTTTAGATTACGTTTTCTGTCACGTCATTGGTTTTGATGTGAAGATACGTTGGCCAGTTTTGCCACCCTCGGCTGCTGGCGACAAAATGGAGAGAAACTACTCTATACTCACGTCCGTCCAATAAAATTAATATTCTCGAATCAATTTTGGTAGCGTTTTGATATCTGTCAAAAGAGTCTTTTTTGATTATCGCCAGTCGCATTTTTCCCGTATTATTCGTCCTACCCCCTTAAACACACCATAATTGCGCCTGGTGAAAAAAAACGGAATAAATGGCCGAGATTTTATTGCATTCGCGGTGCTGCCACCTGTATATTCCGCGCCGGAGGCTCGAAGGAGCGTTAACCGCGCGGTCCGGTCGGGTCGACGGAGACGTGGCCTCACCGAAGGGATTTACATATAGGTACCGCACGTATAGAGATCTTGCCTATGCTAATAGTACAGGAACTCGTAAAGCAGCTATATAACACAAAATTTTGAGAAGGGCAGTTCAATGCGCGAGATTTGAAAGTTCGTTTTTAACTACTGGCAGCTCTAACAGCAAATTTTGACGTTCGATCCATAAGGCCTTGACGTAAAAAAGGAACTAACGTGTGGAAAGCATTGTTAAAAAAATTAGCAACAAGTGCAGGGTTACTGTTAAGCTGAATTACATTACACGGATCTGCGTCTTTGGTATAATTCTGTAAGTAATTTGGCGTTTTGGTTCTTTAAGCCCTATAGCCCTACAGCCATTTCTTCGGGAATTTGTGCCCGTAAATCAGCACAAACAGTTTGTTTTTATAAACTTACATATATAAAATATAACTTTGAGGTGCTAGATATCGCTGAAAATCATAAACATACTGCAGATATATCGTTGCAGCTGCACTGGTTCTTCGTTAATAATTTACGTAATTTTGTGACGAACATCTTTCTTATGTAGATATTTAAGTTTGCACTCGAGTTTGTCTCAAATCCTATTAGGACCTCATATTTGCCACACTTGCTGTAATAAGTATTCTCTACGAAAATATCACAGCTGCGGCGCATCACTTTCTGCCGTAGTGGGTCCACTCTCATTTTCTCAGAGAACGTATACCACGTCTGAATTGCGCCGGTAGGACCACCGACCGCGGGAGGCGCGTTTTCCGTCTTCGCTTCGGAACAACACACGCACACAGGCGCGCGTATCGTCGGCCTTGGCGTGAGCTTGTTTTTGCGATCTGCTCGGGTCGAATATCGTTGGGGATCGTTTTTGGGCGGCGGCGCGCCCCGCGGGAGATCGCGCTTCGTGTGCTTCATTTACCGGGAGACGAGGCCTACACCGCCGGCTATGAGACGGGCCTCTCAGGTTCACAAAGGTAAAAAAAAGCGACGGGAATCGGTAGTAAAAATCGGGGGTAGAGGGCGCGGGCGACAACGAGAGAGAGAGAGGTTTGCGCGAAATGTGAGGTTAAAGACGTTCCGCTAATTAGATCGGAGGGCCCACTTTACGCTGCGTCGTGTTTTGGGTGCCGGGATTTGCGGCGGTTCATTGGCCCTTCCGTGCGCCGCGATGTCGCTCGCTCACGGTCGCGGTAACGTTCGCGTGTCGTTGACGTTTGTTTTGCGAGGTTATTTTCTCGGATCGGCAGTAAACCGAACATTTACGTCCGCGACGGTTGGAGCATTTTTAATGACCCACTAAAGTCGTAAGAACCCTGGCCCTGATATTGGCATGTGCAGCCGTGCACAACTGTTTAGTAATGCTTGGGCAAGAAATGTTATGATGCCTCTACCCAGCGTTTTTTTTTGTGGTTAGGTCAAAATATATCCGCTGTTATATATTTGTTTTTCGTGATAAAATTGTCATATATATATTTAATTTCCTCAGAATATTATTGTCTAGACCGAGGAAAAATGTGAACCCTTTGTTGAAAGTGACGAACTTTTATTGCAGAATATCACAGGTATACAAATTTTGTTACTTCTCTTAAGATTGAATAGAACTTCTCACATTTTTAGATGAAAAAAACTACATACATGTAGACGCTACTCGGCAAATATTTGCCTAATTTGGTATTAAAACAATAGAAGAACTGAAGATAAAATCAAAATTATATCATGCCCTGGGCTAGGCGCCGGTAAGTGGAGTAAAATTAAATGGTGGTGTATGTTATTTTGCGAAAATTCTCATATGCCTCAAAATTGAAGATGGAATAATAATTTAAAGAAGATGGAATAATAATCCCAACAAACTGTATGTCTTCAATTAAAGGAAAACAAGAAACTTCAATTTAGAAAGATGAAATTGCTCAACTTTGAGGAATTGAAATAAATCCGTGCATATTTACAAGAGAAGAACTAGAAATTCTAAGGAAACAGCCGAATGCATAATGAACAACGTAGGTGAAATAAAGAATACCTTTAGATTTTATCAAAAAATATTAGAATTTTTTTGTCATGTAGATATTTTTCTTGATTTTAGATGGTGTACGGTTGGAGAATTGGCTACTTGCAATAATTGTACTTAGGTTTTTTACTTTGTAAATAAATAAAATACATTGTTGACATAATTCTGGTTTTAATGTGAAATATTTTAACTTTAACAATAATTGCCAACTCATAATGCGTTTGCTATGTAGTCTCTTTTCATCTGTCCTTGAGTTTGATGTACATTGTTTTTGTTTCCATTAAAATCCTCTTCAGTTCTTCATTATCTATATAGGCTATACGTTCCATTTCTTCAGGGTGAGAGATTTCAGTAATAACCAGTTTATGCGGCACACATTATGCAGTTATAACTGATACAATATGTATACAATATTATTAAAATTTAATGTCATTGCTCTATATGGTTGGTTTATTAAATGCTGAACAAGTTTTTCTTAGAGAGAAAACCACTGAGCAATCTCGAATTATGACTTGTAAACCACTTACACCCGAATCTTATTTCAAAATGGATGAAATTTATTACCCCGGAAAAAATGTGACGATGAACATTAAAAATAAGAAGCATAAGTTTGGTGCAAAATTGTATATACTTTGCGAACCCTCTGGTTTAGTTTTAAAAGTAAGAATTTACATTGCAAAAGTATTTAGGAATGGGACATAATGTGTTTATGGATAATTTCTACAATAGTTTTTCCTTTGCCAAAGAACTTCTAAGAAACACCTTTGTCACTGGTATTGGGTATTGGTATTGGTATTAAAGGGGGGCGCCCCCGCGGGCACCAAGCACTTAGGCCACCAGATGGGCCCGTCGTGCCCCCAGACCGCTCTAGAGGGCGTCCAGAATGCCGCCCTTCCTATAGAAGGTCAGTAAGCCCAATACCGTGCACTGAGCCCGAATCGATCAGTGTCTGCCTGCTATGTCTTGTGTAGGCCCCTGTTAGTGATCTACACTCCCTTCTGGTCAGTCTAAGCAGCTTGCTGGTCCGATGGAGGGCGGTGTGACCCGGGACCCAGACCAACGTGACATTCCTCTCCTCGGCCACTCTCCTCAGTATCCCTTTGCACTCCTTTATCAACAAGGAGCGCGTGCGCACTAACTTCAGCGCCACAAGTGCAGTCCTACTATCCGAGCAGAAGAATACCCTCCTGGGTCGGTGGTCCGCCATCAATATAGCGAAAATTTCCCCCTGAAACACAGTGCAGTACTGACACAGAAGGACCGACAAGCTCCATACCGTTGTTTCGCAGAACGCTCGAGCTCCGGCCAAATCTCCCATTCTGGACCCGTCCGTGTACCAGACAAGTTCATCCCAGGAGCCAACTCTGCCCTCTCTCCACTCTTCCCTTGATGAGAAGAGAAAGGTCCATTTGTCAAAGAAAGTCATCGCGGGGATCATGACATCACTCGGCATGCCCATGACCCCGCGATTGAATGTTCCCTCCGTCCAGAGCCCGCAGCTGGCCAGCCTGACAGCTGTCCTGGCCGCCTCCATCCGCACCCGATCCGCCAGAGAGGGCAAACCCACCAGAGCCTCTAGGGCCATCGTGGTCGCCGTTCTAAAAAAAAATCATTTTCCATTTTCGCAGAATCTGGGGGCGGTTCTCTGCGGGTGCAACCCCGCACTAGGGATGACAAGAAGGTCGCTGGTGTGCCGTCTTCGTCATCGTCCGATAGTAAACAGAAAACGGGGGGCGCGGACTCGATGGACGTGAAGGCGGGGGCGGGAAGCGCGTCGGGGACGACTGCGACCGCCCCCGATGATGTTTACGAGTTCAAATCGGTAAAAGACGGCGACTCGTCGCCCGAGAAGTGCTCTGAAGGCGACGGCGAAGCGACAGACCCGTTGTCATTGTCCGCCTCCGAGGAGGCGGCGGGAGCGGCATCGAAGCGACCGTACGCGGACTACGAGGGCGGCGAGGACTCGTCCATCGACGAGGATAACAAGAGAAAGAAGCGAAAAGAGGAGGGCGCGAAACCGGTACAAAGGAGTTCTGGTAAGTTTACGTTAAGTTTAAGTTACGACGAATATTTATGCTTTAATAAGAGTTTAAATTGACTAAAACTAATTTCTGCTTTCTAGGTTTAGCATAGTAAAATAACTGCGTCAAATTACCTTTTTTTATTACCAAAAACAAATAGGGTTATTGACAATCAGCAGCTCAACGCTTATTTTTTTATAATGCAAAGGCAAAGGATCCAGTCTCCTCATACCGTTGACATACTCTTCCAACTGCTGCGCGTGTCATATCCAGTTGTCGAGCACCAGCTCCCTGGCGAAGTCCACTTTCGATTAAAATTAAAATGTTTATTGCTGCATTTAGCATTTTATAATAGTAATAATGCTTAATCCAAACAACACTTACAATTGCTAAACTACCAAAAACAGTCTTCTTAACTTTACAATTAAAACTACTGAGTGAGTCAGAAAATAAATCAATATGCTCCTTATTTGAGAGTAAAATATTTGTCAGCTTGCACATTCGATTCAACGCCATAGTTGGAAAGAGCCTTATTTCTTGCATTAATAGGAGAAATATGAAAACCAACAGATGCCAAAAGATCTGGTGCATCCATCAAGTTATTAAGGATTTTGTACAATGTAGAGATGTCAAAAAATATGCGCCTGCTCTCCAAAGATGTCAGATTCAAAAGCTTCATAATCTCGTCGTGGTTAATTTAAGTCTATTACAAGTTAGTTACTATCATTATAACTACTGCATGAACACGTTTCATAAAAGATCAGCACACTTGACAAGTTTAAACTCATACTAAAGCATATTAATTTGTCTTCCAGATGGCAAAAATAGGTTCTAGAAAAAGAAAAACTTACAGTGTTCCGATTTAGATATTTAACTAACCGAAAACGTTTTAAAGGTCAGGGCAAGGGCCAAGGCGGTAAACAATCGGTCAGCGGTCAGGGCAAGTCCGCTGGATCAGCTACGAAGTCGGGAGGGCCTTCGGCGGGGGCGGGAGCGGCGGTTGCTGCCTCCTCGGGCGACAAGAAAAGTCCGTGTCCCAGTCCGAAACCGACAACGGTCACGGGCGGAGGCGGGGGCGCCACCAGCGACGCCGAACTCGAAGGCGGCGGCGGCGCCGGCGGTCCGGACGGAAAGACTTCCGATTTGAAGGTGCCGCCCCTGAAAATCGTCATCCCGCAGGGTAGCGGCGGCGAACAGGAGACGGGCGCCTGCAGGAACGGTAAGAACGGCCAAATAAAGAAGCACGTTTATGATCCGTAAACCCTAACCATATTTGTCACCCACGTGCTGTTATATTACCGTAAGACGGGGTTAAAAGAAACTTTTGCAAAAATTTGTATCGAGTTGTCGACACTGAGAAATCTTCTGTTAGGTAAGCAAACTAAGGTTAATTATTATCAGGTGTTTGTTATGAAATCAGTGGCGTCAGTGCGTCTAATTTCATTTATTTAGACTGATAATTCAAAAGTTAACAGATTGCCTTAAGTACAATCACAAATCCTCAACAATTGTTGCTCTTGTTTAAAGACTTTTTTATTCTCGGCCCGAGAACTGTTACGGAGAAGCAGGTCGCAATGCGGGCCAGCGTTATTAACCTGCCGGCGACGTGCATTAGGTTTTTCAAAACAGTATGCTACAAGTGAAAAATGCGAAAAAAAGATAAGAAAAGAAAACAAAACTGTAAGTAACGTAAATACATTAAACATTTTGGAAAATAAAAAATTAACAATTATAATCAGGAATTAAACAGTTTACAATGCTAATTACAATTCATTTTCAAAATGCCCACCGTTCATTTCTAAACATTCTCTTATACGTTTTATAAAATGCCGTGGAACACGAAAAAACACGCCTAAACTTTTTTAATGACTTCGCCACCGCGTATTTCGAAAATTTACAATACCATCACGACTGAATTCGGCCTAGTCATTTAAGAATTGCGGGCAATTTTGAATTTTTCCTCAAATTTGATTGCATGAAATTACTCTCAATTGTTCATTCAGAAATTCTTTCGTGAGCAGCAACAAAAAAAAAAAAACGTAATGTCCAAAATGTCAAAAAGCAGATGTCTACAGTTTGAAATGCCGATCTTTAACGAACATTAAAGAGCGTTTAGAAACAGTTGTGTAGATTCTAATTATGCTACACACTTAAACACAAAAAAACACATTTTCGACGACAATTTTGATATTTTACATACTGCCACAAAAAGTTGAAAATAAAATTTTTGGAAGCCATGGAGATTAACTATCAATTAGATTGAATACCTCTCCATCATTAAACTTAAACTTAAATTCTCACAACATTAATTAAGGTATTATTATCATTTTTCGGTATATGTAGTAGCAGGTAGTTTGTAAATACAGTGAAATCTCCCTGTAGCGAAACTCTGTATTACGAACAAAATTTGTTGTACTATTAGGTCTCCATACAAAGTTATGTATTAAACCACTCAGTTTAACGAATTTCTCATTCCCTATACCGAAAGAAAAAAGGCACATCAGGTAACAAAGTAAGGAATGAAGGCCGAAAATTGCTTTAATTCGGGAGATAGAACGGGGAGAATAGAAAAGTGATGTTTGACGTCGATATGGACTTACACCGTCGACTGTATCCACGATTTCAAAGTGCAAAGAAAAAATCATTTAGGCTGAAGCGGCAGGCAGTTTTAGTAAAAAACCAAGAAAGCCGAAATTTGAAGATTTGGATCGGGCAATGTTGCAGTGGTAACAACAGCAGCGTCTAAAAAATGTACCACTATCTGGACGTATCGTAAAACTAAAAGCAGAAAAGGTTGCTGAACAGCTTGGCATTATCAATTTTAAGGCTTCGGAAGGATGGTTGCATGGCATATGGAATATTGATTTGGCATTTCTTCCAGACAACAACAAGTGTATTACAGCCGATGGACCAGAGCGTAATAAAAAATCTTAAGAGTCGATACAGGAAAAACATTTTAATAGAAAAGATATGAATGAATTAATATGCTAGATGCAGTCAACTTCATTAGTAACGCTTGGAAAGAGGTGACACACACTCTTATCGTCATCTTTCTTCCAAGTTTCCCAACTCAATTCCCGAACACCCTGTATATCTTTGAAAACTTATTGACATTCAATTAGAAAACACGTTTGAACTACTTCCGAATTTTCGTACGATTTCTGACCGGCAGGCAAGAGCAGCTCGCAGAGGTCGCACCAGGCCCTCCCCTACGTGGTGCCCAGCTCCGGTGCCGAAGCTGCCGATAAAGACGCACCCCCAACCAGCCCGGAGGGGGGCGCCGCGGGCTCCAAAGATACCGACAAGAAAGAAACCAGCGGCGGCCAGCCGGAGGATCAGGTAAGCCCCACCCGGCGCGCGCGCCCCAGGGTCGACCTCGTGCGTGAGAGTAGGACGTGGAGGGGGGGAAGAGACGATTGACTTTTATTCCACCCTTTGTCTCCCGAAAAGCGGGCGGGCTCCGGCCAGCAGCATCAGCGCGTGTTGAGGAGTTCGCAACGCGCCGGCCCGAGCAGCGGCGACTCGTCGCCGCCCTCTCCCCCCACCGGCGCGAGCGAGCCGTCGACGGAAGTGGGAGGGGCGTCCGGGACGGCCTGCGCCGTCGTCGAATCGCAGGTAAACGCCACCCGAGGCGTGTGGGGAGGACCCGACGTGCCAACGCGCCCCAAATAGATAAAATTAGTTTACCGACAGTAGACAATTTTTTACTCTTTGACAGTGTTATAGAAAAAATTTTTTTGGGGATATCTATATGAAAAAAAAAATCAAACAATTTAGTTAATAACTTAAGCTCTTTGGCTTCTTCGTCAAATTACGTCAGAGAGAGAACATGCTCTTGTTCCTCTCTGTTATGCAAAACGCTACCGACCAACATTATATGAAAAAATTAGACAGACATTAACACCTCTTTATTCTGCAAAACATAATATGACACAAAAGCTTTGAACCCATTTGATTGAGACACTAGATTATACAAGAAACCAACAAGATGATTGGCGAAACGTCAGCAAAAACCGACACAAGCAACATTTAGAGTTAGCCAATGGAGCTCGAACGTTGCGCGACGTTTGATCTTAAAAAAAAATTACCTTTAGCACGAATACCCACAAATATTGTGTTGTATAAAGGCAGCTCTGGGTATATATAAGTAAAAACATGAAAACTTCCATCACACTGTTTGCAGATGATTCAAAACTCCATGCGAATCCTACTGAAAACTATGATGACCTTCAGAGGGACCTAACAATGATAGAAATTGGGTCCAAAAAATGGAAAATGAAACTAAACGAAGACAAATGCAATGTTTTGATTATTGCAACAAACATGTAGAACAACAGAAAGACTTTGGAATTATGATAACTTCCAACTTGAAATGGGAGACACATATTTCAAAAATAGTTAAACAGGTTAACTCTTTGGTGTTTTGTCTGAAGAAAACCTTTCTTAGTAGATCATATCAGGCCATAGTAAAACTTTATAAGTCTTTCATCCGTCCACAATTAGAATATGACCAGACAATAAGGGAATAACACAACTTCCAAACCATTTATCTAATGATTCCTGTGAGGAAAAACTTGTAAAGTTGAATGTAACAACCTTGAAAGAAGAAGAAGATTACGTGGCGATCTAATTGAGACTTGCAAGGTAATACAACACTATTTCTTATGTGAACTGAACATTTTTCAAAATGACCCGAATATCCACTCCGAAAATTAATCAAAAAAAGACTGCCACACTATAGACAAAAAGCTTCCTGTGCAATAGAGTTGTGTCTACTTGGAACTTCCTGCCGGAAGACGCAGTGTCCGCAACAAGTACTAATTCTTTCATAAACAAATTGGACAGAGAATTGCACCATCTAATGAGAGTAGGTATTCATAATAATCAATAACTCTTTTTTCCTTCTTTTTCTCTTTTGTAAAAATATTTTCCTTTTTTGTGTTATCATTGAAGATGCATTATATACAGACATACTTTTTTTTACATGGATTATTTTCTTTTTTTTTATATAACTTGTATACATGGTACATCAGACATTGGGAATTTTATTCATCAGCCTCACAGCGGTAAAGAAGACCGCGGATTTTGTTACGTTTGGGTCGGAGGAGAAGCTGGCAGAGGGTCTCCAGAAGTGGGATCATATGACGGCAGTCGTCAAACATAGATTTTCTCCTTATTCTGTGGAGTGACTAGTGTGGGGGTCAATACAGAAATATTAAAATGATTCTTTTCCTTATTTATATTTTACAAAAAAAGGATTTTAATAATATTTATGGTGTTTCAAATATTGGAAAAAAATATTGTAAACACACAACAAACCGAAACAGAAGAAAAAATAAATAAATAATATAACATATTTTTTTTCTTTAATATAATGATTTGCTGATATTTCCTATTGCTGTTTTTAATTTTGCAAAATCCTACCAAGTCACAAAATTTTTGGTATTTTTTACAAAAAAAAAACTTGTTATCCTGTAAAGTAAGATGATACTTATACTATTGCTGCATTTTTTTTGTATTCAGTTTTGTATACGTTGGTTGCAGATTTTCTTATTTAAAAAAAATTATATCTCAATATTATTATTGATTTGAGGGTTGGAAGTTTTTTGCATAAAACGGCCCAATTGAAGTCGAAAGAAGCCATCCGATAATGTACTCGACTGTTTTTCAAGTAATGAAAACGTTGCACTTTCTGCTATATCTTTTGCTTGCGAAACTGGATTCTAACTAAAGATTCGCCACAGGCTGATGTTGGTTTATTTGATTTTTTTAAGATTATAAGCAATGCAGAGAACAATGTTCCTTCAAACTTGCTGAAAGATCGAAGGTTATAAAAGGTTTGAACATTTACAGGGTCTTTCGTTAGACAAATCTTGATCAATCGTCAAATAGATCGAGTCAAAATATATAGAAATGGGAACATTAATAAATTTAGTTTGGAAAATAATATGTATTTGGCCTAAATAGAAAAATTCTCAGCTTTCTTTTTTGTGAAGTGAACAACTCACCAGGCCGGCGTAAAGTAACAAAAGCCGAACTCAGCCTTATACCTCAATATACTGACGGTTTCTTAAGTCAAAACTCCCAGATATTTCACAACTCTAGTTTGTTCAACCCTTCCATTATTTAATTTAACAAGGGTGCTTCTATTTATCATTTTCGTTTTCTGTCTTGGTCCGATTATAGTGTCGAAAATAACTTTGTTTACTCCGGAAAACCTCTTTTATCATTTTTTTTTTTATGGTAATGGTAGTATTCGATAGAGACTGTTAGTAGTGTGAGAATGATATTAAAGAAAACAAAACATGTTCTATTTGGAAGGAAATTGTTCATGAAAACAAAATTAATCCAAATAAATAATAATAATACCGATTAATAATAAAAAAGAAAAAGATCTAAATTTGCAGTTGTTGACATTTTCTTCTATATAATTTAATTATTCCCATGCATGGACGCTCGTTGATTTAAATTGCGTTTTAACAGATTTTTGAATCTTTCGAGGTAGCACCTCCAGTCTGCTTTTGACTGAAAAAAAAATGGATAGGTGTACACCCAACATTTTCTTTTAGTAAATCTATATGGCTTCGATACAGCTTTCTATATGCTTTCAGGATAAAACTTCAAAGAACTTCAGCTTTTACTAATTGAATTTTTTTTTTAAAGCTGGTACAAATTTTATTTACTGCAGAGTAGTCATTTACTTAGAAAGAACTTTTCCAAAATTTTCAATCACATCGGCCTTTATTTACTTTCTTAAATTACAAAGGGCTAAGTGGCGTTATGGATCTAAGTTAATATTTAGTTTTATAAAAATTGCAATAATTTGAAACAGCGGTCAAGTTGTCAAGAGTCAAGAGTAGAGGAAAGGGTGTTCCCATATTAATGTCTATATCGGTTGGCACCTCTGGGATCCGCCCCGGTCTCGGGTTGGGCGCCATTTTTCATCTTCGTTTCGCCCCGCTTCAGTTGCCATTTTGTGTGTCCCAGTGACGTGTTTTTTTTTTTTTTTTGGGGGGGGAGAACGCTGGGTGGATTAAAAGTTTGGAAGGGTAACCGTTGCGGACAGCTTTTCATTCATCATAAAACAATCAAAGGTAGCAAATTTCAACCCAAAATTTTCGCCATAGAACTGCGTGCCATCTTCAAAAATGGTTTAAACTCTCCTTGTTTTCTTTTTAGCGGCAGCAAAGTTTTAGCAATAGTGATAACGGACAGGATTTTTTTTCTAATTATTTTTGTGAATTACTTTATGAAACTAACCAAAATTGGTCCAACACAACCGCGACGGTCAAACATAACCTCTAAAATACCGTGAGTTTGTTGAAGTTGTAAGTGGACAGTTGACAAACAAATTGACGTCAGCAAGTGTTGCGCCCTGTAGAGGTCGTTCTAGAAATTTTCAATTATTCTTCTTCTTCAGAGCCTAAACTGCTTTTATATGGTTCGATTGGGGCGGCGCACGAATGATTCCCAGATTGGTGAAACGTTAAAGATCTGCGTCGCTGTTAAAATTATTTGGTTGGTTCATAATATTGACCGTTAGAAGAAAAATATGTTCGCGACAATCATATTTCATTTAATACACCGGTGAGCAAAAATGTAGGCCACTCAAGGAATTATTAATTATTTTGCGAAAATTCGAATCCTGTTCCATTCCTACATTTGCAACTCTCTCGGGCTTGGGCACTTCTTGATATGTCTACTAATACTTCGTCGCATCTTATTCGACATATGCTCGATGGGATTCATTTCCGGACCGAATGCTGGCCAATCAAACCGCCTAATTCCCACCTCATCACAGCATCTTTCATCAATAATAAGTTCATTTCGAAGCCAAACAGCAGAAGCTGTTTCGTAAATTTGTGGCCACCACATCCTTTTGGTTGATGATCCTTCTTCAACCGGACCCTGGTCTTCTGGTGATCAAGTCAGTCTTCTCGTGACGTTGGTATACATTTTGTACTGGGGTATTCATTATATTTTGACACCCACCTGCAGGGCTAATATTACAAATTTCAGTCGATTTCTGGACTATGTCCGTATTTATAAATTGGTTAAGGCTTTCGCGGCCCGTTGATAAGCTATTATCTTGGTTCGGGTTTAAAGGCCGTCGTCGATTGGAATTACTTCCTAACGTTTCGCTAGCACGAGTGGCGAGCTTCTTCAGAGGTCCTTCCATCTCCGATGTTGGACGTAGACTGACGATTTCTCCTGCGCAGGTTGTATTTATGCCGATTGGTGGTGGGCGGGACTTGTTCCGCTTCGGTTGGTCTCGGGATATCGATCGGTACTGCTCGGGCGTTCCTAAGGATCGGGTTCCAGATTTGGTTGAGTCTAAGGGTCTCCTCCTTTCGGTTGAAATTACAGCTCTCAAAGTGTATCCTGTGTTCCCCGCTGCCCAGTGCGTGTTCAGCTACTGCAGACTTCTCTGTATGTCCTAGCCTGCAGCTTGCTTTATGCTCCTTAAGTCTCGTTCCCATTGATCTCTTGGTAGTCCCGATGTAGACCTTTCCGCATGAACACGGAATCCGGTAGACTCCTGCAGCTGAAAGTGAGCCCCTCTTGTCCTTCGCTGACCTGATGGTCTGCTGGATCTTCTTTGTAGGCTTAAAGATTGTTTTGATGTCGTGTCTTTTCAATATTCTGCCAATCCTGTCGGTGACACTCGGAATATACGGCAGATATGCGTGGACAAAAATCGAATGATAGTGATTTTTAAACTGAAATATTTCAGAGACATTTACATAAGATAATATTGCAAAAATCTTCAAGCTTTTGTTCGATGTTAACCCTGTAGGTGGGTGTCAAAATATAATGAATAATCCTGTACAGCTCATAGACTCTTACCAACTATTCTTGTAGTTTAGCGTTTTTCTCGACCAATCCTAATGCTACAATTCTAGCCACGCGTGAATTTTTTTTGTTCACTAGTGTATATCTGAAGTAACGCTGGGAGTTTAGTAAATAGGGATTCCTCATCGAAATTAAGCAGAATATCCTGTGGATCTAATTTAGTGGCTTTAATTGTTCTGCGAAATAAAAGTTATGAAGGAATGTAAAGCATTTTGGTGTGGAGTCTGGTTTGATTTATAAACAACCGACGCAGGAGAAATCCGGAATATTTGTTAATGTAATACGGCCAAAAATATAGTGCATTTATTGCTTGGACGTTTTACAGTACCTTAACCGCAGATATGTATCGTTTTTAAGAGTTTTATCTAAATTGCAATATGTTCGTATATATTACGGAGGTATTTGAATGTGATCCGACCAGAAAAAACGTATTTATGTACCTGATTTTGTTTTCACTAAATAGTTCAAAGGGTAAGGGTAAGTATCTGTGCTCAGCAAGTTTGAAAATAATCAAATTTGTCTTGTGTTCCTGTAGATCGACAACATTCTTCTTCTTGTATTTTTGTGTCTTCTACATAGTTCTTCGATTTGTATACAAGTCTTTTTTAAGAATATAGTTAGATAAAGATACGTTATAAGAATACAGATAAATATTTATTAAAATCTTGTAATTAAACATTTTTTGAAGGTTCCTGTTTAGAAGGAGAAATATTTCAGCAAATAGAAAAACAGATCCATTTGTGTTCGGATGCTAAACAAATTGTTTTGAATTAGCACGCAGATCTAACTAGGTGTATGATGTACGACGCTTATAAAGTGAAAATGAAGTGTTTTAACCCTATTAGTGCTTAAAAAAATAGTACTGATAGACTTAAACGTTAGTTCTGCCAAAGAGTCTCAAAGAATTTTGCAATAGAAGGTTGATTATTTAAATGCAATTGAAAAATTTCCGAGAGCAAAACAGGCCAATAGTATATTTAGAAGAAACGTGGTTCGACACTGACGACATATTAAAAAAAAAAGAAAATGTGTTTTCAGTAACAAGTGTGTACTAGACTTGCCGCCTTCGCATGGAAAATGCATAATAATTCTTCATGATGGGTCCAAAAATGGTTGGGTGGAAGACGCCTTATTTTTTTGTCTGCCAAAAACGTCGGAGACCGCGGAAATATTTGATTTGAAAATAAACTGTTGCCCAATACAGTTATTGTCGTATCGTTCAGCCCAAATTAGAAATATTCGAAATACTTCTTCATATAAAGAAGAAATTAACGAATTAACGAAGAAAATATTTATCGAAAACGATTAGTGATCTTTATTATTATACTTAATATTTTGTATATTAATAAGGACACTATGTAGCAACGTAATGAAATGGAACATAATAAATTGTTATTTTGTACTAATTTTTTATGCAAATGTTTCCTAGGACGGTCCTGGAATGGTTACGGCCAGGTGTTCTATAAGGGGCCGCGGTTTTGGAGTAAAAATAGTAGGGGTCGGTTGTAATAGCACTATATTTCTGGTCCACCATTAGTAGTATCCCGTTACACGTCCAACAAATAACAAACTCGACAGGCGAATCCGACGGCGGAAACGGAACCGGCGGCGGGAGCGGCGGCCGCCGCCATCGCCGCCCCGCCCCCCGCCCCCGTCGAGCTGCACCCGCGCAAGCGCAAGCTGAAGCAGAACAAGGAGCAGTCGGCGGCGCAGCAGCAGCAACAGCAGCAGAGCCAGGAGGCGGGAGACGCGTCGTCCGAATCGCGGGAGGTCCACCCCCACGATCAGCCCATTACCAACTGCTATCGGCTGTTCCTCAACATCCGCAAACAGATCGAGAAGCGACGCAAGGGCCTGTTCCCCGTTCAGCCGAAACCGCCGCAGGGATTCAAGGACTACCTGATGAACCGGTGCACGTACGTGTTGGCGGGCACCGCCCCCACGTCACCGAACGTCACGTACCCAGCGAACCTGCCCGCGCAGCTCAAGGACCTGTTTATGGAACAGGAAAAGGAACGGTACAAACTGAGGATGCAGCACGTCATCGAGAAGGAGAAACTGGTGCTGTCGGTCGAGCAGGAAATCCTGCGAGCGCACGGCAGGGCGGCTCGCGCCTTGGCCGAGCAGTCGCTACCGTTTTCGGTGTGCACGATCCTTAGAGATGAGGAGGTGTACAATCTGATCACTCCCGAGCAGGAGGAGAAAGATCGGAACACGAGGTCGCGGTACAACGGACGTCTGTTCCTTAGCTGGTTGCAAGACGTCGACGACAAGTGGGAGAAGATAAAGGAGCACATGCTGCTGCGGCACCACAACGAGGCGGAGTCGCTACACGCCGTACAAAAAATGAACTGGGAGTGGAAGCTGAAAGAGCACTCGCTCTGCGATCGCAAGACCACGCCCAAAATCGACGAGCTTCACGTGCCGATGGTTCACGTGAGCGACGACTTTGACCTGTTGCCCGCTTAAGCGGCGGATCTCTCTCTGCTTTTTATTTAATAAATGTATATTACCATGTATATGTTACCGTCCATCTGTCACTCCCAGTTAAAATAGCAGTTTGTAACAAATTTAAAACTTACCTCCTCCCAGCTTTAAGACGTAAATTCTAGAAAAACTCTTGTTGGTTTCAAACCGCAATGCGTAGTCCAACATATATTTCAAAGTTACTGTTACTTTGCCACTAATGGTTGAACAATTAGTAAGAAAAAAATAGTTATTTTAAATCAACTTTCAGAAATATTATTGACACCAATAATTGACAATTGGGAGTAGATATATAGTGCCGATATAAGCAACAAAAACCGTACATAACCTCAATTTCCTAACCCCCCGCAGCGGGGGCCCCCCGCGCGTGGCGTCCTAGTGTCCCCCCTGGCTACCAGAGTGTAGCGTCCTGTTTTGCCCCGGTTCCGCCCGTCGCTGCTAGATGTCGCGCGCTCCGACCGTCGTAGGCCCCCCCGGTAGAGGGCGGTGAAGGTGCGGCGCGGTGACGCGGTGGATCGGGAGGATAATTACGTTGTCTACATATGAGCTAATAAATATTTACTATTGTATCTATAGTTTTTCTTTTATTAAACCGTGATTATTGAGACACTCTGTATAAGTCACTCGACTTGTTTACCGACGACCCGATCCCCCGCGTCACCACGCCACACCGTCTCCGCGCCGCACCGTCACCGCCCTCTACCGGGGGGGCCTACGACGGTCGGAGCGCGCGACATCTAGCAGCGACGGGCGGAACCGGGGCAAAACAGGACGCTACACAAGCTAGGTGGGGGCGGAGCGCACTCTGGTAGCCAGGGGGGACACTAGGATGCCACGCGCGGGGGGCACCCGCTGCGGGGGGGTTAGGAAATTGAGGTTATGTACGGTTTTTGTTGCTTATATCGGCACTATATATCTACTATTGGGGTCAAAAAGTCCTACCAAGTATTTTTATAAAAAGTAAAAATGAAAAACAACTGGACAGTTTCCCTGTAAAAATGTAATGTCAGGTCAAGAGGTCCGTTTTCGCGTTGACAGTTATCAGATCGGTTGAAAATAGTTCATCGTTATAGCGTCGTGCTAGGTTGTAAAACTAAAACATAAATTAAATTATTAAATATTGTATTTTTTGGGGTTGTAACAGGATATGGAGGGCTATTTGGATTGGAAAATGATCGGAGTTCAAAAAAAGAAAGCTATAGTTGTCCACCGCCCAAGTAGTAGTAGTAGTACTTCAAACTTCAAAAATCAAAACAAAGGAGTATAAAAAAACTTGAAAAACTTTCGTTCGTTTCAAAAAAAAGCATCCCCAAATATTTTTCATAAAAGTGAAAAAAAAAAAGGAAAATTTATAGGAACATTGATCAAATCACCTATTGCAGAACAACAAATATGGCTAAAAGCCGTTATAAGTTTTTTTTTGGCTTGGAACTGAAAAGCTATATGGAATGAAAAACTATAGTTGTCCACCGCCTGACAATGGCAGTACTTCAAACTCAAGAAATATATATTTAAAATAATTATAATAAAATTAATTCCTCCAATAAGTGTCAAAATATTGGTTAGTTTTGGTTCCTTGGAATCATGTGTTCCAAACTTTAAAACAAGTACAGTTTCTAGTAATTCAAGTGTAGTAGAAGTTCTACAGAATGAAAATAAGTAGACGTAAACAATTCGAAAAATCAGGAAATATCGAGCAGAGTCTGAGAGTAAATATATTTTTGACATTCTGAAGGTTAACTTTATCGTCTTTTAGAAGGGAATTAAAAACTTTTTTATGAATATATACATAGGAATAGGTTTTCAGCACCCATACAGGAAGGTGAGGCAAGACGGACACTTAAGCTTTTTATTATTTTTTGTGGCTTTTAACCCACGAGTCGACTTATTTTTGACCGACTCTTCCCCATTTATAATATTGTATATAATAATTATAATTATTTAATAAAAAAAAACCTTACTCGTTAGTAACAATTTTTCTATTAATTAAAAAATTTGTTAAAGGTATTAATAAGATTTTCGAAAGCTCTGGCTTCAGGCTAAATCCATAGAATTATCCAAAAAATAACACTTCAGTTATAATAATATGGAATAGCTTTTCTATTTTACCCCTGGTATTACGCAAAGGGCTAAAAATGTAAAATTAAGCAGAATCTAAAATTATTAGAAGAAAAAACGTTTGACCTACCACAACTGCCGAAATAAAACGCGAGATTTCTCTTTTTTGTTTTTCTATTTTATAAAAATTCTCAAAAATAGTAATGAATTACGAACTATATATATAAATACGAAACGTAAAACTGAACAGTCGAACGCAAAATTAAAAATGAAGAAATTTTCTTACATCCGCGAAGACGCGATATATTTTTTTTTCTTTGTGCTATTCCGATTCGTCGTCGGAGAAGATGTACTTCGCTTTGGCGGCGCCCCGGCCTGATCTCGGAGCCGCCGCCTCCGTCCTCTTCATCGTTTCCCCCACCACTTCCGGCTCGAAGTCGTCGTCGTCGTCCGACATCGCGTTCTTTTTCTTCTTCTTGGGACGCGGTGCCTTCGCAACCGTCTCCGCCTCCTTCTTCTTCGCCGGCGGTTTCGTTTTCGCCGCCTTCTTGCCCTTCTTCGGTGCAAACATATCCTCCTCGGAATCGCTGGCTACTTCTTCGGTGGACTTCCTCTTGGTTTGTTTTTTCCTCGCGCCGAGCAGCTCGTCAAAGGCGTTCTTCTTGGGGGGCGCGTCTTCGGCCTTGACCCCGCCCACCAGGTCGTCGAATAGGTCCTCGGAACTTTTGCGATCGGGGGCGGGACGTTTGATGTGGTCGTCGTTGTCGCTTTCGTCGCTCACAAGACGGACGACAGCGGGGCCGCTGTTTTCCCGCACGCCCTCGTTGTCGAATAGTACGTCATCGTCGGCGTCGGACATCGCGTCTTCGTCTTCGTCCGAAAAACTGTAGTTCATCTGTTTGGTTGCTGCGCGTCTCGCGTTCGTTCTCACCGGTTGGGACGTCGACGCTTTGGACGCAGCGACCTCCATGTCCGAGTCGCTGCGGGAACTCTCGTCGTCGGACGACGTGATCTTCTTTTTGCCCCTCGGCGCTGTCGAAATTAAAAAGAGAGAGAGAGTTAGAAATCCCGGCCGAAGATATGTCGGAAAAAGACGAAAATTTGTGATCGATTCCTTTTAAAAATCGTAAACTTGGTGAAAATATGGTGGATGTGCCGGGTACAAAAAAAACGCGCAAGTGAACTATTTATAAATTGCGAAGACCTCTCGCAAATTCGATGAAAATGGGGTGGATTCGCCGGAGCAAAAAAATATAATCGATACTATCGGTCAAACAAAAAAACCGCGCAAAGTGAACTTTCGAATATTAAATAAACTATTTATAAATCGCGAATTCAAACTGCAAACTTGACCAACACATGGTTGATGTGCCGAGGTGAAAACATGTATAATCGATACTGTGGGTCAAACAAATACGCAAAAAAAACTATTTGTAAATTGCGGAGACATATCGTAAACTTGATCGCAAACTGGTGGATGCGCCGAGGTAAAATAAATTACTTATTTGTAGTCATCTACCTCTTTTGAATGTCCAAAGATGAAATTTCATAATTTTAAAATAGCCGAAAGCGTTCTTGGTTCGAAAAACGTATACGTTGGAACGGGGGAACTATTACTATTATTATCAAAAACACGGTGGAGGTACCTTTCTTCCCGTTCGCGGGCTTCGCCTGTTTCTGCCTCGGACTACCGGCATCCTTCTTCACCTTCCCCCCACCACCCTTTTTCCCTTTCGGACCCTTCACCGCCTCGTCGCCTTCGCCCGACTCCTAAAAACCGCAGGTCAAAATTAATCGGGGCGAATCGTCATTACCTCGAACCCACCTCTTCACCATTGACCACCTCCTTTTTGATCTTCTTGCTCTTGTTCTCTTGTATCTTCATCGCCGCCTGCACCTTTTTCTTTATCTCCTCGGTAATCTCGGGCACCACCCGTATCGCTGTCGTAGACGGCTTCGTGTCCAGCATTTTCTTTTTGCCCTGCAACCGTCGCTAGATTTAGTCATAAAAAAAATAATTAGCGGACGAGTTGTCGGCGCGCCGCCGCCTTACCCGCCCCCGATGTCCCGCCGCCGAATCCTGAACGCAGCACGACGGATTAGAATTGGAATTATTTTTTTTATTTACGTCACACATTGCACGGAAAATGTCATTGAAACGAACGTGTTTTACAAATGACATTTATTGATTTTTGAAAGCTGTTTCGCAAAAAACGCCGCCCTATCTTTAAAAAATGTTATTTTATTAATCTACATACCAATGATATGAATATTTTTGTTTCATGTTGGGCATGATTTTTAAATGATAGTATAAGATTTCTCCGCAAACAGAGTTGGAGCACAAGCGTCAATGCAGCGTTGTAACCTGCTTATTGTGCATTTTTGATGTATCGGACGTTGAATTTCTAGTGTACTAGAACGTACAAATATGGAAACAAGACATTTTTTATATCGGTGGTAGTTATGTCGTAGTATAAAAATTGGTCATGAAGACTCTTCATACTGTTTATTCCATTTGCATTGAAGCATTAAAAAACTGACAAAAATGTAGCAAGAATTTTATAAGTTTTGGTGTCTCTATTGTATGGCGTGGTCCAAATTCGAGGGGCCACTATGGCTTTCAGCATGTGCAGCATAGTTAGCTTTAAACTAAAATGCATGTTACGGGCTGAACAAACTAAAAACCGCATCATGATGGAATATTCACCGGATATAACTGCAATTACTGGAAACTGCAAAATCCCCATATTATGGCGGAACAAGCGAATCAGGGAAGGTTCAGTTTTAAGGTATGGGTAGGCATCCACAGATGACAAATGATGGGGCCATATATTTTTGATGGAAATTTAAATTCCGTTTATCGACAATTTGCCACTTCAGCAAAATAATGAGCTATAGGTACTTGCTAAATAATGTGTTTGCCGAAAACTGGATCGGAAATAAAGGTCCTATGTATTGGCCCCCAGGTCTCCAGACCACACCCCTTGGGACTTCTTTTTGTGGGGGAGAATCAAAGACCTTGTATTTCGAAATCGTCCAACTACTAGAAGGGAATTGGAAGAGGCACTTCGTGCAGCACTCTTCTTAACTTCTTAATGCCGAAAATAGCGTCAAGACAAGATGTAGGATATGTTTACACGAAAATGGCTGTCAATTTGAGCATTTGTTTTAGAATTAAAATTTTTTTTTGGATGTAGACTTTAAGTGTTACATAATTTAATTAACAAAAATTTTAAATAAAAAAATCGCTTTTAATAATTTTACTTCCGTTTATTATTTAAGGGTTGGTAATTATTGTAAACTAGAAGTTAAAGTGCGAGGTTGCTGTGCCCCCTCGTGTCGTAGCCAACTTGATTTTGTATGAAAAAAAAAAAAAACAATAAAATTTAAACTATTTAATAAAAATAGGTGTATGGCACACCGTTCGACAGAAAATTTTATTTGAAAAATGTTTTTTTTTATAACTTTGTGTGATATCTCGGGAACTAAAGGCTTTAAGACAAAACGGGTAAAATGGAGAGATTTATAGAGAGCCTTTAAAACCGCAGATTTTTGAGAATCACCCTGTAGCTCAAAAAAGCCTTGACATATCACGACATATCATGACATATATCCAGCCCGTAACATGCATATTAGTCTTGAGCTAACTATGCTGCAAACGCTTAAAACCATAGAGGCCACTCGAATTTGGACCACCCCGTACAATTTCGGAGTAATCGCAAGGCAAGGTTTTACACCAAAACAATTAAAAGTGACGGTTTCAGCACTGGGAGACTCCTTCCCGTCATGTTCAACTATTGAGCAATGGATTTCTGAATGTACTTCGAAAATGATTGAAAAAATCCGTCAAACAGTGTTGAAAAACCATTTGAACACGATTCGAAAAAACATTTCCACCAAACGAATTTCTGGCATCGGTTCATAACTGCTGATGAGACTAGGGTTGGTCGAGATGCAAATTAAACCACCCGATTCGTCGACGAAGCGCATTGTTTTTAATATCGTTTTTCTTGGACAGGACGGAATATATTCTAATCAAATACGAAGAGGAACCGAGACTCACGGACTCCCGCCCACTTACCGCCTTGACCTTCTCCTGCTTGGTGTTCTGCTGCTCGTCGAGCCGCTCCTTCTGCTCGACCTCGTCCAGTTTCTTGAGGAAGACGGCCAGATCGTCGCGCCACATTTCCGCGCTCGTCTTCTTCTGCAGCGCGCGCAACTCGTCCATTTTGACGTCCCTCTGGCGCAGCAGTTCCTTCTTCTTCTCCTCGGTCAACATCCATATGGTCATCCCGAGGAGATAGTCGAAGTTCTTCACATCCGTCGACTGTTCGTCAAATCGCGCGGGATCGAACACTTTCTTGGGGAAACCGCTCCTCTCGTCCACCTCATCCGATTCGTTGTTCTCGTCGTCCTCCGCCGCTTTCTCCATTTCCTGCTCGTCTTCGGCGCCCTGCGCGCGTTGCCACATCTTCACCGGATCCGGTTCGTAGCCGGCATCGACCAGTTCCGCTACGATGACGGCGCGGCCCTTATTTTCGACGACCAGCTTCCCGTTGCACTTTTCCAGGATGAACCGCGCCTGGTTCGACAGTTTGCGCGTTTCCGCGTCGAGCTTGCCCTCGAGGTACTGCTTGCGCAGCTGGTACATTTTCAGGCGCAGCGCGTAAAACTCGCGCAGAATCTCCATGACGGAATCGTATCTGCGAAAACGGAAATCAACATCAACGCGACAGATAACGCGACAGGTAACGCGACCCAATCACAAGAAATATTAAATATAAATCATCCAATATATATATATATTCCAGTGAACGTAAAAACTAATCTTAAATCTACCAATCCTATAAATAAAAAAAAATAGAAGGAAAGAAGGAGGAAGAAAACGATAAGACTTGTCAGTACGTAAGTATTGCCTGAAAACCATCATAATATAAATTCCAGTGCGATAATTTTTGCGAGTTTGTTGAAGCTAAACATAAATATTGCAAATATGATTTTGAGAATGGATATTGGACCTGCGTAAGTGCGGTAAAAAAGTTGACTGATTTTGCAAAGAAACTTCCACAGGATACTGCAATACTTTTCCTGTTGGCTTCCTCAGAGCTTGACTGAAACTGGCTCGCATTTTATTCTGTACCTGCTTATATATTGTTTGAGAGGGGTAAAAACATCGTCTCGTCCCATATTAGTGACAGATAAAGACCTGAAGAAAAAATCTGTCATCCCCCAAGACTCAAAATACAAGAATACGAACCTGTAGTTTCCCGGTTAAAAATCGTCAACCTTCGAAGTTAGGAGAGATGGTACAAGAAGAAGAACGGAACAAAAAAAGAAATATTTTAATTTGTCGTCGCCATGCTTACCTGCGCAGGCACGCGTCCGCATCGAACGCGCACATGGAACTTAAACTGGTCAGGCTCTGTAGCTTGAACACCTTGTGCAGGCCCTCCTTTTGCATATTCTCCATCTGACCGTCGAGGAGCGTCACCACGAATCTCACGGTCGTGTCCGTATTGTACTCCTTGTAATCGCTCAATGAGGCCTTGACCTTATCGTTGCCGTACAGCATCGGCTCCAGGACGCTCTCCTTGTAGTTCTGGGTCCAAGTGCCTACCGGCAGCTCGCTGATCTCGAGTCGGTTATCGTCGAGGATGCCTATTTCGCCGCTTATCATGTAACGGTTGTCGCCCACCGACTCGATCGTACCTAATGACGCGATTTATAAGGTGAAACGCATTTACCCGCCCAAATTTTGGTTATTTCCCCGTTTAACGTCACAACTAGAGTTGGGATTTTATGTAAAAAACATCTTTTTGATTATTAGGAATATCAACCCAATATTTTGGATATACCCGTTTTAGATTAACGATATAAATATATATATATATATATATATATATATATATATATATATATATATATATATATATATATATATATATATATATATATATATATATATATATATATATATATATATATATATATATATATATATATATATATATATATATATATATATATATATATATATATATATATATAACGTATAAGATTAAATATGAAATGTATCTGCAATATTGTGGACTTTTATAGCCTTCGAATCCCGTTACCTAAGATTTAGGCCCTCATCCCTTTTCTTCTTGTTTGCCGCTTTTCTGTAATTTGATTTTAAGAACCTATTTTGAAAATTAGCACTGATGGTGCTTGTGATTGAATGAAATACATCCCACCCTCTTCATATGTACTTTTGAATTTTTCCAAGCATTTTAAACATTGAATTCAAAATGCCGAAAGCGAATTATCATTTGGTGTCCGTATGGATTAATTAAAAAAAAGAAGAAGTATTCTGCAACGCTTGTGGAGAAGTGGTACATTCTCATTAATTAATTTGAAATATGTAATTGAATATATTTTAAACATTGCGATAAAAAAATTTCAAATTTTTATATCAAGCTTATTTATTATTAAATAATTAGTAGTATACATTATGTTAAAATAAATATTTATCTTTAAGGTTACATCTGAGAAAAAAATCGCAAATAGACCAGCACGTCGCCACTGGAAAACATAAAAATGGATGGGAGAGAATAAAGACTAATAAAAATTAGCAGAGTTCTTTGCAACAGTGCATTTCATTAGTTAATTCTTTAATTTCGAATGTAAAAAAATATTTGTTAAAGCACCTCTACGCGGCTTTGCATTTTGAAAAAGCCGCTTCGCGGCTTCTTGTCCTAGAGCAACTCATAGTTTTTCTATCGCAAAATGGATGTAATCGATGTATAAAGTGTCTTGGACGTCTCGCGAAACTTCAAACATTCTTAAATATCAAAATTTGTACAGCTAATTGAGATTTAATATGATATTTGAATACCTGGAACTCCGTCTCGACACAATCAACGATAGTGTTCAAAAGATAATTAATTATCTCATCTTTAACAGTTTTTCAATTATCGCCAATAATTTACCCACAGAAACCGACATTTTTAGAGAACTTTTAGATTTTCTGCCCATATTCGACACACCCTGTATATAATTCAAACAATCTTCGTTATAGAGGATTTAGCCCTAAATCTCCCACTCTTCCTGGTACATGAATTTTTTCAATAGGGTGACTGGTTTTAGAGAAAATACTTGTTTTCTGAAAGCATGCAGTATGTGGTAATAGTAATAGCGATTTTCATTGGGATTTTTTCTGGAAAATCTCACTCTTCACTTTTGTTCTTAATTCAAAAACCTTATAGTTATAGTATTCGATTTTCTGCGTCTGTTGGTTAAAGAATTTTGCCGATTGGAGCAATAGTTTTGGAGAAAATGATTTTTTTTGCTGCAAACCGACATAAACCAAAAAAAAATTCTAAAATTAAAAAAAAATACTTCGCCATACTTGACGGCGCCCACTTTCGACAATTTAAATGTGGGAGTGGACTTCTAACTAGAGACATAATTATTAACGTGAACCAACTGAGTACGACCAGACGGTAGGCCAATCACAAGTCGTACCTTTGAAATTTTTATACCAAGGGGCCAAGTTGCCGGGCTCCGCCCCGTCCAGCATAGCGTACAGGCAACGCGCGATATCGCGCGGGTTATAATTCGGTATCTTGGTCATCCAGCCGGTGCCTATGCCGTCCGCGCCGTTCACCAACACCATCGGCACGATCGGTATGTACCATTGGGGCTCGATCTTTTGGTTGTCGTCGTATTCGTATTTGAGGAGGGCGTCGTCGTTCGGATGGAATATCATGCGGGTGAGGGGCGACATTTTCGTGAATATGTACCTCGGACTGGCCGAGTCTTTGCCGCCAGCTAGGCGCGTGCCGAATTGACCGCGGGGTTCCAGCAGGTTGATGTTGTTGCTGCCGACGTAGTTCTGCGCTAGGTTGACGATCGTCATGCACAGGGACACCTCGCCGTGATGGTAAGCGGAATGCTCGGCGACAGAGCCGGCTAGTTGCGCGACCTTCACCTCGCGCTTGTCGTTCCGCTTGAAGCACGTAAAAAGTACCTACGACCAAAGTCGAACGTCAGACCTTAACCCCTTTGCATTCGTATATACAGTCGAAACTCTATATAGCGAAATTGAAAGGACTCGTTTTTTTTTTTTTCGTTATAGAGTTAAATTAACAATACGCATATGGGTCCTGTAATATTTAATCATTTATATACATATTTTAATATCTACTTAGGAACAATTTATATAAACATTAAAGAACTACACTTAATGTTTCAAATAATCTGTCATTTTCTTTTGAATTTTTTTAGTATGCCAACACGCATCTCGTACGTTGGCATGTATTTTCACCATTTTTTCGAGACGTGGTACCGTTCGAAGCAGTCACCAATGTGTAGTCCCGGTGCGGGTGTCACAAATATACCTAGTTTCCCACCTGCCGCCTTATACTTTATGGTTAGAACATACCGCACAGTCTTTTTATTTCCATCATTTTGGCGTAAATTATGTCCTTTACCATTTAGGCGCTCTTCTGTATCTACAGATGATCGTCTGCCAGGAATTTTGGATCCCGGCCGAAAGTTTTTTATCATTTCATCAACCAATTCCCGAACAAACTTTTTTGGTCCCGTGGTGAAATTTTATATAATAAATATGCGTTGACACTAGAAATTTCGAGTCCCCAGAAAACTAACTTTCGCCACCATTTCAAAGACTTCCTGAGGAAACATGACGCTGTGCGGTCAACACCTCCCATATATTTATTGTAATTGACCACTACATTTGGCTTATTTATAATTTGTAAGTTACCTCCACCTACTCCTCTGTTGATAGGTTGTGTTCCTAAGAGATCCCACGAAGTAAGTGTGGTGACGACCCTTTTATCTTTCCACGCCAATAACATCAAATTACCTGATCTGCAAATGTTGCTTTTTTGATAGAATCAGGTATAAGTTTGCGGTTGATTTGAATTGTGCCTGTCAAATGAACATTTAGTTTTAATGATTCTTCTGCAAGTGGCAAGCTCGTGGTGTAAAAGTGATATCCTCTACATCCTGGGTTATTGTCTAATAAATTTGGACGCAGATATAATACTATCCTTGTGCCGACAGGTAAATCAGGTCTCACTATATATTCCGATATCAAATTTCCGTAGTACGGCAAAATGGAATGAACATATCCGGTGTTAGCATCTGCCATTCCATAAATTGTTATCCCCATTTCGTAGTCTTGTTGGGATTGTGAGTTAAAAAACTAATTTTACCCTTAAATCGAACAACAGATATCACTCTCGTGCGGGAACAAAATGTTCTATAAATTGTTTGTCCAAATAATCTAAATAGCGACTGAGTTTCTGAGTTCGAGCACTAAGAGTGTCATTTGGATCGTCTTCATGCAAGTGGAGCATCCAAAAAATTGTAAAAATCGTTATCTTCTAAATATGCTACCAAAAAGAAGTATTTAGGTGTGACCCTAGATAAGGTAAACCCAATAAATGCGGTAAATTCTTCTAATGTAGTATCTACCCGCGTGTGTTATGTAAAACGTTTTGACAACCTCTTCCGTGCTATTTTATGTCTCGCGTAGTTATTTGTTTGTTCCACTATTTTTATTGTTAGTTCATCGGTGAAAAAGGAGCTTGAAAAAATCTATGGGATTTTGTACAAGTATCGAAAGTAAATAGAATCCTATTCTTGAGTTGCGGTATTATTAGAAAAAATGAATGCTGATCTGAAGAATGCTTTTGAATGGCTGTGCACTAATAAACTTTGTATAAACACGGACAAGTCAAAATTTTGTATTTTTGGTAAACATCATAAATTGAGTAAATTAAATTTCTATGTAAACATTTATATTAACAAAAAAAAAATAAATTCATGAAAACGAAATTAAATATCTGGGTGTTATATTTGAATCAAATTTGACGTGTCATACACATGCCGATTACATAATGAATAAATTTTCTAATAAGATTAATTTTATATCTAGAATAGGGAAAAATTTGTCAATTGACACCAAAATCTTGTATAAATATTGCATAACAGAATAGCTGCTCCCCATTTAGAAGTTTGTTCCACACTTTTGCCAAATTCTAAATTAGAGCAATTGCAGATTGTTCAAAATAGGGCCATGAGAAATATACTACAGTGTAACAGATCTACGCCAATTCAAAGCATGATTGAATGTTCTTAATTTCTTGTTTGTAAAACAAAAAGTAATGTTTAATGTCTATGTATTAATTTTTAAAATTAAAGAACAGTGTGTTCTCAATTATGTTTGTGAAAAAGTTACCTATTACAATACAAGAATTTGTGGTAATTTTATGTTGAGAGAATGTCATTTTAGTCATGTACGAAACTCTATATTACATAAAGGCCTAAACCATTTTAACAATTTACCGCATGATATTAAAAACTGTGATACTATTAATAAATTTAAAAGACTTAATTCTGATTTCTGTGTGCTTAGATTTTGGTTTCCATTTATCTGGAATTTTATATTTCATATTTAGAATTTATATTTTGTATTTTTTATGCAGCATAATGTTAAATAAAGACTATATTATATATTATTAATATAACTAACCAAAACGTTTTTTTAATGCATATATTGCCATCACAACAATAGCAATTTTATGAATGGTTTCACGTGGATTCCCTCATAGAATTTCAATACTAATAAATTATTTCCTTAGAAGCATTCACACTACACTAAAAAATTATATTAATATCGCTAAAATTATGACGCAACGGCCAAAGTTGCAATAAAGAAGGGCCTGAAAAAGAAGCTGTTGTTTATATATGGTTAAAAAAAAAACTGATCTAAATTAAGTGTTAATCCTTGGTAATTTTGCTTAGTTGTGATATGAACCGGGTTAAGTTTGCAAACTAACAGCATTTATTCGACCGATTAGGATGGTGGAAACAGAAAAACAAAACAATTGAATGTAGGGTTTAGGAAAAAAATGAGGAAAATGTACTCTTTTTGTACTCGGTTTCTGTTGATTTCTATGCATTGCTTTTGGTGCATGGTTTTCTTGCCCTTACTGCATACCAAATATACTGCACGTACAAAAGCCATTTCAAGTGATACAGCAACATTAATTTAAATAATTGATTTCTAAACACTACAATCGATTATTGTTCCGTTTTTACCATAGCAATCAGCTATTCATAACAAGGTTACCACTGTTAATGGGGTATAGCTCGAGAAAAAAAAAACCTTTCGTTGGCCGGGTTTCATGCCGTCCACCATTGACGGGATGGAGCGGACATTGTCCGCGTTGGAGAACAGCACCAGCTCAAGGTTGACAAAGTCCTTGAACGACACGAACTTGGTGTGCTTGCCGTAAAGGTACTTGTCGGGCATGCCCAGCTCCTTGCGTTGCTTGCTTTCAGTCATGAAGTTGGTGAGCCACTCCTTGCGCTGCTCGATGTGTTTGCGGCTGAACGCGAGCACTATGTGGTCGTCGTCCTCCTGGCCGTTGTAACGGAACTGGATCCGGTGCCGCTCCATGTTGGTGAAATATTCTTTCGCCTCTTTAGAAGTAGACGTACCCAAACCTGCGACCCGAAGGCGATTTTGTAAGAACAATAAGTGACGAAACACTTTGGCTGGCTTAAAACTTCCCGAAACTCCTTTTTTTTTCTCGTTCGGTTTATAATAGCATTCAACTTGATAATTTATTGCTGCATCGTTTGATGGATCGCAATTCAAAGCCCTATAACAAGCGGGTGGAGTCTTGGGGCTTTAAGTGTGGGTAGCACTAACTGAAGAGTCATAAATAATTTTTTTTTGCGAATGGGGCCAATTTACTTTTTTTGGCACATAATTTATCTAAATTCCTGCATTTATAACTTTACGCGCTATCTACATAAACCAGGTTTTAGTTTGGTTTACCAGCGTTAAATTTGAATAGCCTTTCATGTGTGTGTCTGCGCTAGTTTCAGCTGTGGTCATTGTAGCTGTAGCTATAAGATGATCTAATCTTATAATTATATATTACAATTTCTCCTTACAACGTTGCGCATTAAATTAGTACGTTTTATGTTCAAAGTAACTCTAAGACCACAATATTTGAAGAAAAAAATAAAATCAGGGATTGTACTAATTACTTAGCATAAAAAAAAACCTATCCATTGATTTTCAAACTTTCACGATAACCCAAAGCGTGTTTATGCACTGTGGTTGCTACGAACTAGAGTTGAAAAGTTTATCAATCGCAGAAACCAAATTAAAAATTGATAGTTTATTCATCTTTAGTAGCTCTGTGAAACTCTGTCTCGACAGTTTGTGATACTGTTCAAATCAAATTAACAGATCTTTAGTAACTTTTTCATTTATCACCAATAATTTACCCACAAACGCGGAAATTTTTATGCTCATTTAGATTTTTTGCATATAAACGACACACCCTGCATATAATTCAAACAATGTTTGAAATAGAGGTAATAGCAATAGATCCCCCATTTCTCCTGGTATATGAATTTGAATAGAGGAAATGGTTTTGGAAAAAATGCTTGTAACTTTCGCAAAATCGATGAAATTTTATTGTGCATACACCCTGTATAAAGCGTCCTTCACATCTCTTCGAACTTCAAAGTTACAGCAAACTTTGTTAAATATTAAAATTTGCACAAATAATATCTCAAAAAATATCTCGCGCCCCGTATAATTGATGAAACATGAAACTCTCTCACGACACGCTTTTTCGATACTGTTCAAATAAAATTATCCCATCTTTAACGATAAACGATACCTTTGTAGTACTTTACACGGTAGGTGTGATGGTTGGGCGTCGCCGACTTCCACTCCTCGAACTCGGGCAGCGAGTAAAACGACAGCTCCGCCCCCTTCTTGGTCGCCTTGACGATCGGCGTGATAAACTCCTCGAGGAAGTTCTGCCTGAGCAGCTCCGGCCAATTGTAATGGATGAAATTGATGACCAGTCCCTTGATATGGGACCCGTCCTGATCCTGATCCGTCATTATCATCACCTTGCCGTAACGCAGGGTCTTCATGTCCTCCGGCGTGTTATACTTTCGCTTGTACTGCAGCCCGATAATCTTCACCAGGTTATTGATCTCCGCGTTCTCGAGGATCTGCTTGTGGGTCGCCTCGCGCACGTTCAGCAGTTTCCCGCGTAGCGGGAACACCCCGTAATAATCTCGTCCGATAACGCTCAGACCAGACACGGCCAGCGACTTGGCCGAATCACCCTCAGTTAGGATGAGGGTGCACCTGAGGCCGTTCTTCGTCCCCGCCTCGTTCGCGTCCTCCAACTTGGGCACCCCCTTCAATTTGATCTGCTTCCTGCCCGCGCTCGCCTTCACCAGATCGTTCTGGGCCTTGAACTTGGCCCACGACAGCACCGTCTCCACTATACCGCACTTCGTCATCTGCGTGACGAACTTCTCCGACAGGACGCACTTGGAGCCGAAATTTTTCATCTGCAACGTCATGTTCTCCTTCGTTTGCGAGTCGAACGTCGGATTGACGATCAGGCAATTGACGAACACCCACAGGTGGTTCCGCACTTGGAACCCCTTGATCGCGGGCCCGCCCTTGTTCTTCTTCTTCAGCACCTCCTGCAGCTGCTTCACGATCATGTCGACGACGTAGTCGACGTGACGTCCCCCCTTGGTCGTCGCTATGCTGTTGACGAACGACATCTGCTGGAAGCCGTGATCCGACACGGTCATCGCCACCTCCCAGCGTTCGTTCGCCGCCTCGTACACCACCTTCAGGTTGTTGCCCGTCTCGTCCTCCCTGTCCTTGAGGAAGAGGTCCACGTAATCCTTGAAACCTTTGATGGGCAACCGTTGCCCGTTGAGGAAGACTTTGACGCCCCGCGTCGAAGCCGCGATGTCGTAGGCGCGACGGGACATCAGCGCGACGATGTCGTCGTCGAGCCGCTCCATCTTGAACTTGGACAGGTCCGGGCTGAAGGTGATCTTCGTAAAATCGTCGCCGAAGAAGTCTTTGACCTTCGGCTCGGCGGTTTTCGTCATGTTCGCGGCCCACGTCTGCTTGAACTGCCTCTTGTACTCCTTGCTCGCCGTCTCCACGACGAACCGCTCGCTGAAGATGTTGCACAGTTTGGCGCCGTAACCGTTACGCCCCCCCGTCACCTTTTCCTCCTCGTCGTTGTAGTTGGACGACGTGAGCAGGTGGCCGAATATCATCGTCGGCACGAACATCTTCTCGTCTTTGTGCATCACCACCGGTATACCTTGCCCGTTGTTCCACACGGAGATCTCGTTCTCCGCCTGCCTGATCTCTACCTTTATGCAGTCCATCTTCTTGTCGCGTTGCTTGTTGTCCGCCGCGTTCACCAGGATCTCGTCGAATATCTTGTACAGGCCCGGCACATACTCTATCTCCCTCTGGGCCATCATGTTCTTCTGCGGGTCGTACAGCCACATAGACTCCTTCACTTTTTCCACAGAACCGATGTAGGTGTCGGGCCGGAGCAGGATGTGCTCCAGCTGCGACTTTTTCTGGTACGTTTTCTCGATGGTCGCCTTTCTGGGGGGCGGCGGCTTGCCGACCGGCTGGCCGTCGCCGGCGGCCCCATCGCCGTTCGTCGCGTTAGACGACTTCGTCTGCAACCACGACTTTATATACTTTATTATTCATCCCACGAGTAATTGTTAAGAAACAAACCAAAAACAAGCGGAAAATACCCCTCTTACGAGAAATCATGTACCCACAACGACCGTAAACAATGGCCAACATGTACCTTTAAATCCGCCATTTTTGTGTAAGCGCTTCCTCATGCAGTCGCGGAACGCCGTCGAATCGGAGAAGCGACGCTCATCCGACGAAAAAGCGGAAGCTGCTCGACAGCGAGTTCCCGAGAAATACCTCCGTTGACACGCTCTCCCGACGAGCAATCTGCACCTGAAGCCTAGCCGCTTGTCCAGGGACGCCCTGGACACCTTTTGACAGGACCGTTCAAATTTCGACCAATCGCCGAGCGTCGATTCGAACGGCTCCGGCGAGCGCGCCAATCGCGACGCTGCGTTGGACAATCGATAGTGCCACGGTTTTCAGCGGAGCCAACACAAAAATCCCCGCTGATGAAATATTTTCGCAATAAACGCGATCCGATTCAAAATAATGAAAATCTAAATAAAAAAACACACATCTTTAATGTTTCGCAATGTCAACTTTACTATTGGTCAGGTGGACAGGCGGTAAAATATATTTCATACAGGCGCATTTATTTCCGGACACGAAATCGAAGCCGCCGAGACGGGATCCGCAATGGGGGCAATTGATTCGCCCCTTTTGCCACTGGCCGTCGCTTATTTTTGCGGTTAACCAGTCCGATAAACGCTCCTCGTCGAGAAAAACGCTGGTGCTTTCGGTTACCGACTCGCAGACGGAACCGTCCGGTTCGTTAATTGCGAGACCATGCGCGTTTAACACTACCGTTTCACTGACCGAGTTTTCCACGACGGTTTTCCTGCACTTTTTACATTTTATTCCCATCTCGGTAAAATCGACGACATAACCCCAAATTTTCAAGGGAAAGTTGGTTAGTTTACGGAACCACTAGCAGTTGCGGTTTGAATTAGATTATTGTTTAGCGTTTGCCAGTATTGCGAGGAATTGAAAAAATAAAGTTATAAAGTGTCTCGTGCATATTTCTTTCACCAGGAACAACTAAAATACTAGTTTAATTCCTTCCTCAAACTTGCCCAACTAAATGTTAGGTTGTGTTCGAAAATGTGACGTTCGTGACCTCATTTTTGCCCCGCCTACTGCCGTCATTAAACAAATGCAGTGACGGCGCCGTCGAAATCACCTGCAGTTGCGGCAAATTCCAAGGAAAACGATAATGTCCGGCAACAAGAAGATCGAGGAAGGGCTAGAGCACGTCAAGAATGCCGAGAAAAGGTTAGGGGGGTGTGTGACACGGCGGCTGTTTAACCCCTCGGTTTTCAGTTTGAAGACGTCGCTGCTCAAGTGGCGGCCCGACCACGAAAACGCGGCCGACGAATACAGCAAGGCGGCGACGTGTTTCCGAAACGCGAAAGCGTTCGAGCAGTGCAAGGATTGTCTTCTCAAAACCGTCGAATGCCACAAACAGAACAGAGCGTATCCTTTGCGTCGCGCGGGTTGCCTTTTTGCCGTTTGGCACCGTTTTCCTTAACCGAGTGCGCAGGCTGTTTTATGCGGCGAAAGCCTTGGACCAGTGCGTACTGGTCTGCAAAGAGCTGGGCGACTTTTCCGAGATTGCCAGTTTAGCGGAGAGGGCTGCTAACATGTTTCAGAATCACGGAAGCGCAGAGTCTGCGGCAGCGTCCCTGGACAAGGCCGCGAAAATCTTGGAATCGCAGCGGCCCGCGGACGCTTTGAGGCTCTATCAACGCGCCGCAGAAATCGCCCTGGTTGAGTGTTTTATACGACTTTTAATTTTTAGGTTATACAACTTGTTACGTTTTAGATTCAGGATAATTCGAGGCAGGCGGCGGAATATACCAGCAAAGTTGCGAGGCTACACGTAAAATTGCAGCAGTAAGCCTCCGAAACGGTAGTTTCGCTTTGCTCTGGGTCCTTTTTGCAGGTACGATTTGGCGGCGGATGCCTTGCGTCGCGAGCTCGGGCTTCACCAGCAGAGCGAATCTTACCAGGCGACCGGCCGATTGGCGGTGGCCTTGGTGCTCGTGCAGCTGGCCAGGGGCGACGTCGTGGCCGCGGAAAAAGCGTTCAAAGAGTGGGGCAACTATTGCGACCCGCCCGAGGTTCAAACGCTCGAGACTTTGCTGCAGGCGTACGACGAGGAGGACCCGGAAAACGCGAAGCGGGCCCTAAACAGTCCCTTCATCAAGCACATGGACGTCGAATACGCTATACTCGCGAGGGATATGCCCCTGCCCCGGGGGCTCGACGTCCCTTCGAAGGTGCCCGTCAGGGAGAACACGGCCGATGAGTATGTGTCATCGAAGGTTAGTGCTTTTTATTTTATTTATTTATCAACAAATAAACACACATAAACAAAATAGTAAAAACAAAATAAAATAAAATAAAACACATGAAATAGATAAGAACCCGACCCTAATATGACAAACATTGGTTTTCCAAAATATTAATATAGTTAGCCGACACTGACAGTTTTTAAGTTCTTTCTTAAATATTCTTGCATTCTGGAAGCAGTCAAGTTGGTCCCAAAAAATGATTTGTTAGTGAAACTGATCTAATAAGAAAAGAACTCTACTCATAGTTGGTACAAAGGAACTCCACCTGGAAGAAGTGGTTTATTCTAGTCTGGCGGGGGGAACGCTAAGCCCATTCTTACTTTACGGTTCATGAGAATTTGAGTGGAGAGAGATTTCCAATTCCGACGTCCTCAAGTCCGCAGGAACTTATGCTGCACTCTTTCTATGGCCTGTATCTAGAATTTCTGGTCGTCAGCAAATAATAGGAAAAATGCATGATGAAAATATCATTCACGTAGACATTGAAGTGTATGGGTCCCAGGTGTGATCTTTGCGGAACATCAGAGGGCACTTTAATTTCGGTGGATTGGAAGCTCTGGACGCACTCTTTCAGTAAGGTACGATGTTAACCATTCCAAAAGTTTTCACTGGATTTCAATGTTACGCAATTTTTTAATTAAGATTTGATCATTTACTCTATCAAATGTCTTACACGAGACCCCCCCTCCAACGATTCCATCAGAAGCAAGTTTAGATCAGTGGAGAGATGGCAAAGAAATCCAAATTGTTGGTGGATGAAGCAACCATTCAGGCTAGCAGATAAATAGTCGCAAACTAAACTTTCGAACACTTTAGAAATACAGCTTAGGATACTGATGGGCCCATAATTGTTGATTTGCAAGTAATCGCCGAATTTTAGCATATAAGTCTGAAAGTCTCTTATAGTCTGCATATAACCCGGTCCCAAGATATTCTTTATGTGGTTTGTTCTTCTCAATTATTATATCCTTAAGCTCTGGGGAAAACCAAATTGGAAACTACTTAGCCGAAAACTGCTTTAGGGGATCGTAAATATGGATAGCAAAATAAACTATGTCGTGGAACATGTTGACCATATCCTCAAGGGTTTTGTTAGAAAATAATTTGTCCCATTCGAATTGCGACAACTGCTCCCAAATCCATTGATTTAAAATCTCTATAAAGGCCGTCACGCCTTAGACGAGAACTATTGAAAGGTACTGGTCACATTGCAGGGACATATGCATCAAACCATTTATGGATTATTGATACAGAGTGGCAAAAAGATATTTTAATGAAATTTGACAAACATGTACACACATTTTTTTCTTAAATGTACCAGTGGCGGGCGCATGGAATTTCAATTGTCTCTTGTATTGTATTGAACGCCACTGATTTTTTGCGCTTAAAAAAAAATGAAAACCTCTTACCCGCAAATTTATTTTACAAAAAAATTAATAAATCTGGTCGTAAATTAATGCAGATGTGATTTTAAGGAAATCAGTGGCGCGCCACTAACTGTCCATGAACAAATAATATTTTGGTTAATTAGGTCGCCAATGCACTGGTTAAATCGATAACTATAAATCCCCTATCTCAAAAGTTTATAATCACCCTTTTTGCACTTCCATTATACAAATTTCACATTTTGTGGAGAGCGTGGCGTCTTCAGTTCTTTTCACCTTTTAATTATTTAATAACGTTTAATGTTAAAAATAAAAGTTATGAGACGAATATTAAATAAGTTTACTCGTCAAAAATTCGTTTCTTGGTATTTTTTTAAAAAATAATTTGGAACTAAATTAAAAAAAATAGCGCTTCTTAAACCGCTTACGTCACAAATGTGACGTCAAATAGCGTCAACAGCTTGAAAAGGAAATGTAAAGGTACCCGGGACCAGAGCAGTATTGCCAATTATGCTAGGAGACCCCACGTTACCACTTTTAAGGTTTAAGGGAGGTTTCACCATGATTGGGATGCAAGTGAGAAATCTATATTTCAATCATATCGATCTGATATACCTTAATATCTTGATATACATATATACTATATACCTTAATGTATGAAGACGTGAACTTTGGATTTCTCAGAATATTCAATAAGTTACCCAATAATATTAAAGGTTTTCAAATTATAAATTAATAGTGGTGAATATTGAATGAAAATGAAAAAAACAGTATATTAATATTATTATAATAGTAACAATGAATATGAGGATAATTAAAAATTAATTAACCTCGGATAAAAATGGAGAATTTTTTTTGGTATATGGGAAATCGAGAACTGTAGTCGGAATTACATTTTAATTTGTATTTCTGATAATCTTCGTACCGCCATTGTTGCCGAATGTCACGTCTAGCGGAAAAAACGTAACGGTTCAAAGGTTACGTGCGTTTAATGTCAGCAGCAATCAATGTGATTCGGGCTCGAGCATTGTGTACCCCAAGATTTAATATTGAGCCTTCTTGTCCATATAAATGGTTTGGTTAAATCTCGGGGGAACATTTTATCAAAACTTTAAATATTATCGATCTTGGTTGCTATAAAATGGAATGTAATTTCTCAGAGTGTTTCTTGGATAAAATCACACTTCACTATTTTCAGAACAAATCGACATGCGAAGAAGCGGATGGTGCCCCAGGTGATGCAGAGGACGATGACTATGCCGGCGGACTTTGTTAAGGGAACCCCACTTGAGGAGGGCCCCCTTAGCTTTAATTTGAAGATACCACAAGTCGTCTTTGATTTTTCCATTAGTTTGTAAGCTCGACGTCGCGTTTTGGGTGGGGGGCTGAAATTGTGAGGTTACGATAGCAGTAGGCCTAAACGAAACGAAATGTAAATAAGTCTCCGTGTGATTGTCGGTTCTCCGGAAACAATAGCCAATATTTCCGTTATTGTTAGCGAAGCGTCTAGTCAGTGCTGTCCTTTTTGTCTTTGTCGCACCTAAAGGGAGGGAAACACTTTTTTTTATCACCAATAAAATGAGGCATACAATAAAAGAAAATAAAAATGTGTTTTTTTTTTCCTCACCACTCCCCGATGGGGGGCGTCACTATTTATTTCCTCCTTTAACCAGCTATATTCCACACGATTTAAATACTTTACAATAATATACAGCGGCGGGGACGTTGGCCCGCCTAAATAACGATAAAATACGAAAATAGTTCGTTTTCGGTGTGTGTATAAAACGGTAGTCACACCGAATAAGGAAAACCAATAATAAAACGACGAGACGGGCGGCGCCGCTGATCCTAACTTCACTTTCGCTTGAAACGGTCAAACTCTCGACGCTCACTTGTTCAGATTCTCCCAGAGCTCATCGTCGCCCCACTTATCGTTCCAGCCGCCCTTTTTTTGTTCCCTGGGCTTCTTTTTCGTCTCGCCGGGCGACGTTGCGACGCTGTTGCCGCCCGAATAGTCCCGGTAATCGGATTGGTAGCCCCAGTTTTGGTTCGGACTGGAAGCCCTGGGAACAGGTCACCATCAGTCCACCCTACCTCAACCGTAGACCAAAGCAACTTAGACTTCCAGTTTAGTATCGATGTGACACGGGTGTTCGCACAATATTCAAATCACAAGTAAATTAGAACCAAAAATATTAGAGGAGAAGGCTCCCAGTAGTGGCAATGTTAAAGAGCGTACACGACTTTCAAGGCCCTCTAGTGTCCAGTCATGAAAACGGAAAACGCGCGGGCCGTTCGGTTCAATTCAATTTAAATTTCGAAAGGTAAAAACGTGAGAAAAAAGATTATGTCAAAATAGTTTTTAATTTTTCTTTTTATTAAAATATAAGTAAAGTGCTGTTAACCGTTCCAAGCTACTGTAGTATTTTCACAGTGACGCATTACTTTAGACCGCCATGACAGTACTTTAGTACTTGTACACAAATAATAGATGGCATTCGTAATAGTATACGCAACCTTCCCCTCCATCTTATACTCTTTGATTAGAACAAAATATGTTCAGATTTTCGTAATTTCCATGAGATTTGACGTTGCGTTGATATATTAAAAATAAATATAATTTATCGGCGAACATTTTATGAGGATTGGAATGGCATGCAAAGCAGGTAGATTTTTGAGATTTTGGACACTACGTTTTATTTTTTTTATATTAAAAAAAAAATAAACAATAAAACGAAGTGTGCAAAATCTCAAAAATCAGGTGTCTACAGGTTGAAATGCGGATCATGTCCTAAAATTTATATTTGACAAACAGGTAGATCCTTCAATAAACGCATGAATGAACATCAAAAAGCGTTTAAAAACAACAGTCTAGATTCTAATTATGCTACACACTTAAGCACAGCAAAACACATTTTTGAGGACAATGTTATTGATATTTTACATACAGCTACAAAAAGTAGAAAATTAAATTTATTGGAAGCCATGGAGATTGACAAAATGAAACATTCAAATGTATTGCTTAAGACAGGGTGTTGTCGACACAATTGTCATGTGAATGTATATAACTTCCTGAAAATCAGAACTTTTAGTTCTTGTTTATTTATTTTTTTAGCTCAAGAGTGATCGAGCCCTTTTATTAGAAAAGTGGCACAATGAAGTAGTAGTTGTCTGAGAAATTATCGTTTCTGGACGACTGAATCTTTGCTGACGTTTTCTGCCCATAATATTTAGTAATTGCAGCGTAAGGGTCGTTAACTGGCAACAAAACACGCCTGATAGTAATTACTTCACAAATTCAAAATCAAATTCATAAAATTTTTCCTCTTCTTTTTCTGTTTTCCTTTATTTTACCAGCAATCATTTTGGTTAATTGATTTTTATAGAATAGAATAATGAGTTATTTCCCACAAGAGAGTTATGCAAATGAAACTTCAACGTTTAGTTCCCACAAAATAGAACGAGAATTTGTGTGTCCACCCGGGCACTGGTAGCAAGTTACCAGGTTGCTTTTGTAATAAGGAGTGGTTGTCTATAGTCTATTTAGTCTATGGCTAGCTTGTCGAATGTTACTTGGAGCCATGCTGGCTGTTGCAACTCCAGTCGTCCTCTCGCGAGTACCCGTTACTGCTGCTCACGAGGGAGGAGCGTTCGCCCGGCGAGTGATAGTTATCTCCGACCACTTGCCCGTAACTACCCGATTGGTAGTCAGATGCCGAATTCGCTCCACCCACTTCCTTCCAGCCCTTGCGACCTAGCTCGCTCATCTCGAAAAGAAAAAACGATTAAAAAACTATCCTAAAGCTACCGCAGGATGAAAGGAGGGCGGGTCAATCGCGAAAAATAAAATTACCTTACTTGCCAGGCCCGACACCTGGGAGGAAACCTCATCTATCAGAGTACCCTCCTTAACCTAACACAAAACAATTCACGAGATAAATAAAAAAAACACAAAAACACGAAAAGAATTCATAAAAAAAGAAAAATAAATAAAAATAACGAACCTTTTCGCCTACATGCGAGCTAAAATCAACTACCTTCTGGCTTGCCATTCCGCCATATTTGACGGCGTTCTCGGAGGCCTTGGTGGCGATTTTCGTTGCCGAAGAGGAAAGGAAGGACCAGCCCTGCAACAATTTTCTCTTGTCTCCTCTTTATCCGCCTAACCTTGACTTACGTTGGCTAACGATGAAAGGGCCGTATCGACAAATTCCTGGGACTGACTCCGCGGCGGCTGTTCCCTGGTGTAGCCGAAACCGCTGTATTTGCCCCCTTGATTGGGAGGTAGATCACTGAAACACACCCCCATTGATTCCACCAAATTTATTTTGAATCAGTTAGACCCTTACTCCCTTCTACTGGCATTCTCCATCTGCTTCCTGGAGAAAAACGCTTCTTTCTGGTCCTTAACCTCCGGCGAATTGTAATTTTGATACCCGGATTGGTACGAATTAGAACTGTCCGACTGATAGGACTGATAAGAGGAATAGTTACTAGAGGAGTGGCTTTGTGCACTCGGACTTGTGTACCCGCCGGTGTAATTCTGAGCTGCAGATTTTTTCTCTTCCCATTGTTTGCCTTGAGCCAAAGTGGAAATCTACAAGAAAAGCCGCCACTTCATAGCACAAGAATCGTCGAAACTGGCAACAAACCTTATCCCTATATAGCGCGGCAGCTTTTGTATTATACTTTTGTTGCACGGTCATATTATCATCCCAGTCGGACTGGGCTTCGAAGAATACCCGGGCATTTCTGTTGCCGCCCACTTTCATTTTTTCGAGCTCGACGTCCTTCCACTTGTCCATGGTTACCGAGCGGACGAACGAAAGGTGCACCCCCAATCCCCTGTGCTTACCTGAACATTCCAGGCATATCCATATGCCATATGTTACCGAGACCCACTGTGGATTATGTGTGCCGCACTCGAAACATTTCTAAAATAGCACGGAAACTACAAGGTTCTGTAGGCACAGGAGCGAAATTCTACTCACATCGTTCTCGTTATGTGGTTTCAGTTCTTGTAAAACACGCCTGGTCCGGGGGCTCGCCATCGTTTGAGTATTGACGGATTAAATTGTAAAAAAAGTCCTATTTCGTTTGCGAATCTCACGATTCCACCACCAGAAAAGATTTCGCAGAGCGTCGGTAAAATTGGGGGCGATTTTCAAACTCCCATTTCCTTGACGTGGACGGAACCCACAGACCAAAAAAGACGCACGGACCATCGAACGATTGACGTTTCGCGTGACAGTAGGGTCAGCTGTTTCGTGACGCAGGCGTTTCTAGTAAATTTAAATTGTTTATGAAGAAAATGTTTCCGCAATAGTTGCACGGTGGAAACCAACTAATCTTGTTTAGCTGCATATTTCCCAAAGTTCCACGGGGGTGGAGCATGTGTACTTGACCAAAATCACTATACTTTTCAGCGGTGCCTTTCGATATGTGATATTATTTATAATGTTCCGAAGAAAAAAGCCAGTGGACAAAAAAAAGCTCGAGCACAAGTTGTACTTGGTGAGACACTCGCGGTGTTATTATGTTAAATTTTAAAACTCAATTTAAGGCTAGAGAAACACCCGAGTCGGTGTTTGATTTGTCTGAATGCAACTTGCATCAAGTCCCGGGTGGGATATATTCCCTCTGCAAGGTTTTCCTTAAACAATCTTTGACGTTGCACAACAACCAATTGTCGTCGTTGACCGGCGGCGGGAGTTTGCGCGATTTGCACAATTTAACAGTCTTGGATATTTCGACAAACCTATTTCGCACCATCCCCGAAGAAATTTCCGCCTTAACAAACTTAACTGTAAGTTTTGTCCGCTGGTTTGTCCATGGGAAAATGCAAATTTCGGCGGCTTTATTAGGAACTTCACGCTCACGATAATCAACTGAGAACGCTACCGGACGGACTGTGCCGCCTGGTTTACCTCAAAATGCTGGACGTCTCCTCGAACTTATTGAAGAGCTTACCGGAAGATATAGGAGAGTTGCAGAATCTTCGAAAGCTGAACGTGGCACACAACAAATACCTGCGTACGTTGCCCGGCAGTATTTGCAAGATACCCCAGCTCGTCTGTCTTGAATTAGACCCAGCAAATTTTTCATACCCGCCCAGCGAAATCGCTCATCGAGGCATCGAAGAGATCATGAAATACATCTGCGAAGGTAGGGGCGCGCGATGCGTGGCATTTTCGCGGTGTTTTATTTGATTTTTAGACACCTGCCACACATACCAAGCACCTCAGGACCTTACGGAGGAGGGATCGCCCCAAGGGCAACAGGACATAACAGATTCCTACGAGGTAAGCACTGAGTGGCGGTTTTGGGTGGGGACCGCGAAAAAGATATCTTCGATGATATCTGGTGTACCAGCTCTTGGTTATCTGTGAAATATGTGGCATATTTGTAAAGACACAATGTGCTTCCTCGGAGTTGTGAACACTTTGGATTAATTAAAGCAAATTTAAATAATAAACAAAATAAAATTTCAAAAAATGCCAATATGTGATTATTAAATAAATATTTTTAAGTTGTTTGTAGATTGGCGTTCTTAAATTAGATTTTTTAGGGTATTCACTCCACACAAAGACTCAAAATTATTTCGGGCTTTCATTGCACTTTTTTCATCAACTTGTATTAATAATTAAATGTCTTAAACATAAAAAAAAATTGAATTGAAATTATAAAGATAAACATTTTATAATAACCACAAGTGAAAATTTATGTAAATTCTATTTGCTATATCAGGTCGACGTTCCTGGTGATACACCCTGTATGCTTTTATGTATTTATTTATTTATTTATTTATAATTTTCAATGTGACATGTGAAATGTGATTCAGTAATTTTTGTGTGATCTGGCAACATATGAAGTTCACTCATAAAGGTTTTATTTGTTTCACTACCAAAGTAAACAAGTAAACAATTGTGAAGAAAAAGAAAAAAAATATGTCCATTTTTAAAATTTATTTATTAGTTTGTTTATCTCAACTTAATTAATTTTATTTTAATACTCACAATGGGCCAACTCATGATGTTTTTTAAAAATATATTTTAATCTAGCATATTTTTTAAAATATATTTTTAATGTTCCATTTATTTATCAGTAAAATTCGTGAAAATTATTTGAAAATGTCTGTAAAGTCCGTGCAAGGCGAAATTCTCATTTTCACACAATTCTTGCTAAAAAAAAACCTTTGATCAGATTCCGAATTAAATCACGAGAAGGAAAAAAATGGAAAATAGCAATATTTAAATGTTATATAACTAAAAGAGAAAATCTCATTTAGCTTACCAGGTAGTTTTCTTAATACCAATGTTTAATAGCTAGAGGTTTTTTAGGTTAAAATCAGCGTTTCTGCTAGTATTTCGAGCACCTCACTTTGGTTTCTCTTGTTCTTTTTTCTAGGAGTCGGCGCGGAAGCTGGCGACGTCGAAGGCACGTGTCGATGTTTTTTTTCCACCCCATTGTTATGTCCTCTTGCGAATTACGTTAATTCTGATTGCAGTCGCGGAGGGCGCTAGAGTTCCTCGAAATCGAGCGTAACAACGAGTTCGCGCAGAGGCGGGAGTTTGAGGTCGCGATGGCCAACAAAGCGGACAGGGACAAGGTAAAGGTTTCGCATCCTTATTTGAATTTGCTTTGAAGGGATCCGTTTTCAGTTGTTGACGCGCATAGCTGAACAGCAGAGCGAGCTCGATGATCGGCTCGGTAGGATCCGACAGGACAGGGAGGTGGACCGGTTCAGACTGATAGAGCAGCTCCAGGAAGGTAGGAAAAAGCTGCGGAAGGCTTTTGCCACCAAAGTGTTTCCTCCGCTTCCGTTAAAATGCCCCACGAATAACCAAATATTGCGTTTTTTAGAGGTATTAGCTACTTTCAAAACACGCTGGTTTATTGGCAAACCCCAACCGGTTCCAAATGATGATTCTACTTGAATTGTTTACAGCTCAAAACTCGTTGCATAGAATGTTATAACGTTGACGTATTTCCAAATAGCACTGTGACAGTTTATTCAATAAGAATGTGCCAAATAGAACATACCGATCACAATTCTGCAGTGTTTATTGTAACCGGAACATTTGGGCCTAAAAAGGAAAAAAAAAGTAAATTTCAATCAGGTCGTTCTCGCTTTGACGCCACTCAAATGAATAATTTTATTTTAATTACACAAAATAATGTTTTTTTGATCATTCTGTTGGCTTCTCCATAGCTTAACCGAAACTGGCTTATGCCTGCTTTTAGGGGGCTTGAACGGGCGGAGCCAAAGGTGGGGCATGTACATTATCTTGGTTGACTGAATCTATGTCTGGCTGCTTATAGATTTCTGTGGATTCCCGGAATTTATCGATTAAAATATTCAACTCTCTTCTTTACATAGCCATAAAACCAGTTCAGCCCGAGTCACTGAGCCCAGACTTAAAACACCTTACTTCTGCTCTTCTCTCTAATAATTTCCACATTAAATATATTAAGCGTTCCATCAAAAAAATACACTGCGCCCCAACTTTCCAAACGAGTACCAAAGCAACCCCACACTGGCCACTGTCCTTCATTCAAAAGGCAAAATTCCATTTGAGATGCCACGAGCTTACAGCATTCCATTCAAAATCCGAGAATCTATAGAAATCTACAAGCAACAAAACAAAGTTAACCACGACTCAGGTCTTTACCGTTTGCCAATATACGTTCCTCATTTAGCTCCGCCCCCCTCAAACCATATATAAGCAGCTACATAGTCCAGGTTGTCCAAGTTTCACTCAAGCTCTGAAGAGGCCAACAGGATGATTGGCGAATAGTCAGCAAGGTTTGATTAATAAACAATCGATGTAGAAGAAATCCAGAAGTTTCGTAAATGTAAAGTTATGTCTTCTAGTCGGCAGTTCCGCCGCAATCCGTGTGCGTGTCTATATATTCGAATGGATTTTAGATAATCACATTTAGCGTTTCGTGACTAATTGTTAATTTTTGGAGAATATATTAGTCCTGCTGTGGGGAGTTGGGAGGGTAGAATAGTTTACCACACTTAATGTATACTATACCGTTAAACAATACAAGGTGGCTCAAAAAACCGCGATGATAAAACATACGTTTTTTTTCAATTCTTGTTAACATTTTTCAATTTTTGTATTCAGTCTCTCGAAAACAAATAACGTAATTTCAAATCCAACGTTGCATTAAGACCTAACGTATCCTGCATACAATCACCAACAGAAAAATTATCTATATATTTAAAAAATATTTTAAAAAACGTAGCAAATCAAAATAAATTTTATATCAAAGACTCGATGGACTTTAAACAAAAAATAAAAGAAAATACCAGATGGCAAGTTCTTGTTTCGCTTTATGTCGTGTCATTATACCCTTCGAGCTTGTCACACAAGTAATTAAAACAAAATGGGAGAAAATTAAATTACACATTCCTCTCGATGAATTTTTAGTACCTTTAGATTTTACTCTAAAATCCACATTTTTTCAATACCAAAATATGTTCTGTAAACAAGTCGAAGGTTGTGCAATCTAGAAGAAAATATTATTAAAAACATTCAATTCAATTTACCAATTTAACCAAAAGAAAAACAGACTTATTACTAAACTCCTTCAATAATTTCCACAAAAAATTACAATTCTAACTAACCAAAATACCATTAACTTTTTGGACTTATCCCCACCTCACATACAAAATGAAATAAGAACAAGTTGGTATACTAAGAAAATAAAATCATCATTGGAGATGTTATGGCGATTTATAATCAGATTTGGCAGAGTGGGATAGTAATTTCGTGATCACCTAACGCGTTCAATAACATCCAAGTATTGTATTGAACTTTTGAAGCTCCGTGTATCCGGGTGTTTTAAAATTTCACTAACACTTTTTCATAAGATTTTCCTAGATTTGGCAATTGGGCCGTTTGCCGTTAGGTTCTTTAACATCATTTTAATAACGCCCTCTGCAGCTGAAAACAACGCGGACGTCGCGATCGGGAAGCTGCTCGGCCTGAGCGGTGAGCCGCAGCGACATTTGCTAGAGCGGGAAAAAGAAGAAGAGGAACGGTTGCTCGCCGCCGTCACCAAGTACAACGCTGCCCTGCGCAAAGACGACATCCTGTCGGCGATGGGCGACCTCGTGCGGCGCGAAGCCGAAACGTTTGAAAAATTCGATAGGGATCGCGTTGAGGCCTCCACGACAATTTTGGAACAGTAAGTTTGCCATCTTAAAATTCCAAAAGCACTGAAAAGATGCCGACCCTGAGGTACGCCTCAAAGAAGGTTCTCGCTCTTTGCTTAGGTATTCTGTTGGATGAGCAGGAGGAGGAATCCAGAAGATTTGTAAAAAGAATTAGTAGTAAGTGGAAGTTTATTTGAGTTTGCCTGTTATACTTCACCTTCGTACTTACCGAGGTATAATATGATTAAAAATATAGTGCATTTATTGCTTTGACGTTTTGAGTATTTTACAGAACCACAGACCTTCGCGGGCCCGTGGTAAAACCCATCCCGACAGATATTTATTCTGCATTAGGAACTTGAAATTTTTATTTGAAACGTAAATGGATCCTTTTAAATTTGTAGAAGCGTTTATTTTAACATCAGGTAATATGTATCGTTCATTTTTTTCTTGCGTGCCTGTCGATTAACAATATTCTTCTTGTATTTTTGTGTCTTCTACATAGTTCTTCGATTTGTAAACAACAGCCCTTTTTTAAGACTAGATTATATTCGCTATAGATAAAGGTATGTCATAAGAATACAAATATTTATTAGAATCTTACAATTAAACCAGGTGTTAGAAGAAGCAACGCAGAATTTGAAGACGAAGTGGAGATGGTAGTCGAACCTAATGATAATTTAGAAGACGAACTACCTCAGCAAATAAAAAAACGGAGCCATTTGTCTTCGGATGCTAAACAAATTGTTTTGAATATTTACAGTTTCATAAGAAATTCAGAAGGGGGGCAAATAGGAGTAGCAATAAAAACAAGTGGCATGACCAAAGTTCCGAAGTCAACTCTCAGAAAAATTGTTCCAAAAGGGATAGTCAAGAGGAAAGTGAGTTTAACCCTAGAAAAACTGCATAAAAAAATACTGAGACTTAAACTTAAATAGTTGTTGCATACTTTTTTGAAGAAAATGGATTTTCAGTTCCAAACAATTAAGAAACGGCAAGTACTAATGGAATCTCAAAGAATTTCGCAAGTGGCTGATACTTTATTATTATTATTGTAAGGGTCTGCTCGGCAGGGTCTTCCATAAGGGGCTGCGGTTTTGGAGTAATGAATAGTGGGCAAAGTTAATCACGGGGTCGGTGGTAAAAGCACTATATTTATAGTCGAAGTATACCCTGTCGTATACTTTTGCAGATATTTTTTAAAGGTATTTAATGGAGTCTCCGATAAGTTATATTGGTAGTCGAGTTCCTCTTCTCGGTGAAAGTAAAGGGCGAGGATCGGCGGTCTCCTTTCAGGTGTGCCTCAGGGTCCGCATCTTAGTCCCGTTCTCCTAGATTTATTAATTTACGACTTCGACACATCTCTTAGGTTCGAAACGCCATCGGATCTAATTATAAAAAAATGCCTCTGTATCAGTTTGTCTAGCAAATATTCAACGTTTGGTTTTGATTAATGATTCAGTCTTGTTCGATTGTAGACTTAGTTGATTGATTTAGATTGTGTAGTTATATTTCAGTATATATTTCAGTGAATATTTTAAAAGCACCCAAAGTTAATAATAACATGCTGATGGGTTTGTTTTTTTGAAATTAAATTAACCACAAAACCCAATGTAAGCGATGCTAAGTACGGTTCGAACGTTCCATTGGTAGGTTCGCGAATACTGTTTAATAATTCCCACCACTCAGAACCTTTTGCGTAGCGTACATTTTTTTAAAAAAATGTCTAAGGCGTGTAGAATAGAAATTCAAAAAAATATATTTTATTTTAAATTATACAGATAATGGGTAACGATACAACTGTTCCTCCCACCTTCGGTTGTGTCATGGAAGTTCGACAATCTTAATATTTCCATACTCTCCTTATTTCTGTGAACACGGAATTCAATAGGTAAATTAGAATAGCACATACATTTCGAATAAAGTATTCATTTAATTGAGAAACGATATTATTAAAGTAACAACAATTATAAAAAAAAAAAAATATATTACGGTCTAAGTTGTACAATGGAAAATGCTAATTTTACTTTTACAAGTTATAAAAATATCAGTAATTTTATCTCATTATGGTGATAATGATGAATGATTTGTCGGTAGTATTCTCAAGAAAATTATGACATAGCAGCAGCAATATCTCCAGATTTGCATAATTTTCTTTCATGTTTGTTTCATGTGCAACGGGCACTGATGGGCATTATGGAGTAAAACCTCTTTCAAACTTATCTTTGAGGCATCAATAAAAAGGCTCCATTCATCAGAATTTTCTGGAAAACTAAGTTCTTGAAGAAGCCGAGCAGCATCATTACAATATACTAAATCATCTTCTTTCGAAAAGTAACTCGTGAAATCTTGAGACGGTCGAACTTTTATTCCAAATTTTCGTAGCCCCAAGTCTCTAACAACATCATTTAACTCACATTAAGTAAATGAGGTTCTTTTCATGGACTTATAGATTCAGATAGATTAGATATGAACTCGCTCGAGGCTGTAAACCGGAAATATTTTTATTTATTAAAGTGCATGTATCACGAGGAATTGGATATATAATTATTTTGTCGAGAATCCTTGTGTTGATGTCATACAGAAATAACAACCAATATCATGATTCTGAGGTTCACTCAATACGGCGTAGATTTGTGACTACCTTCAAGCCAACCTCTCGGGAACTGTTATTACACATATTTGGAAGCCAACTATTATCCCTCTCATCGATAGAAAATCCCAAATAAACTGATAAGTTGTCTTAACAAGGTCGCTGTACATATCCTCTGTGAGACTTCTCTTTTGCATAGCTTCATCAATTCCTGCCTTCTAGCTTTTCCTGCCTCTTTTCCATCTTTGTAGTGGCCTCCACCCATCAATTTTTTTTGTCTCATATGTCCAAATCTTTCCTTTATTAATTTTGTTTTGTACATGCACTTCGTCTCTTCCGTCCGATGTTATAGTCACTCCTAAGTAGTTATACTAGTTTGTATGTTTAATAGTTCCCACATCCGTGTGTAAATGTTTATTCCAATAGCCACTGTTCATCATTACGCCCATTTTACTGCATTTTCGTTTCGGCTCCTTTAAGGCCTTAGGTAAATTTTAAATAATGCGGGAGAGCTACAACATCCCTGTCTCGGGGCTTTATTTACCAACAATTCTTAAGAAGTTTCTTTTCCAATTTTTACTAAGCTTTTCGTACTTCTTTCCTTTCAAAGCATCCCATAACTTATTTATCGGCATGGTATCATATGCTTTCTTGGGGTGTAATTCTCCAGCAAGCTATAGTTTTTTCAACTAGTTGTTTCTGATAATAGGCTTTCCATCTAATTATCCCAACAGGGTCTATTATTTTTGTCTCATTTTTGTTGGTCTTAGAGTTTTTCAAGCCTGCCTTGATTTCAAGCTTCCTATGCATCGGAGGATCACTTTTCTCTGAATAAAAATGTCATTATTTTAGTTAGTTTGGTTGGTTACAAAATGGCGTCTTATCGCACAGGGTGCTCGACCAAGACTCCCGTCTCGCCGACATACTGGAGAGGCGCGATGAGCACAGGTCCGAGTTGGTGTCGGAGCTGATCAGGGCGAACGCCGTGCAAAGGGCAGCGTTCGGCGCCCTACTAGAGAAGGGCGACGCCCGTAGCTGGGCTCTAGCGCAACAAGTGCGTCTCGTCGAGACCCAATTGGCCACTTTGACCGTCATCGAGCTCGACCGGAGACGCCTGAAGATGGACGAGCACTTGGTAAGGTATTCGGAAGATTTGGGCGGCTCAAAAAAATATGGAATGTAAAAAAATACATACACGTAAGTCTCTAGTTATATGTACGTGTGGAGCCCGTTGTAATCTTCTGGTCCTTATCTCCCCTACTGCCGGGTGTTTTGTATCCATTTTGAAAAGAAAACTTTATATGAATAGCCTTGAGATCTTCCAGCGGTTATATTGGGCCAACAGCCCAATATAAAATAAAATTCACATAAACAGAATGAAATAGATAAAGACCCAACCCTAGTAAGACAAACTAACCAAAATATTTTAATGTTCGAGTGTTGCAAGTTAAAATTAAAACCTTTATCCAGAAATTCAACCTCATTTTTAGAAAATGTTGTCTGTTAAGTTTATGAACCTGTTGTAAAATTGGTGATCGGTATACTTTGTAATAACTGGCTTGCTGTTAGATATTTTTGTATTAGAAATTAATTAATTTAAATTAATTAGTTTTAGTCTAAGAAACTTTTTATGAATGATAGATGAAATGTCTGTTCGAACTCTATAATCAAATGTGTCAAATTCTAGGGGATTAAGTCTATGAGACAATTCAGAATGTATTACCTTTACATAAATGTTGTTTGTATCCCGTTTCTGAAAAAGACACGGTGTTGTCGAAACAATTGTCATGTGGAAATATATAATTTCGTGAAAATATGAACTTTCAGTTCTTATTTCATTTGTTAAATGGATTTTTATCAAGCAAAAGCCGCCTCAGTTCAAGAATTTTATTATTCTTATTAATTGACCTCAGTTGTTTAAATTCTGTGGGGTTCTTTACTTTAGAAAGTGGTGTGACCTTTGCATGCTTATAAGGTTTTGGAAAATAATATAAATAAACAATATACATTCGTTTAGGACATGTGTATTAAAAGGTATTATAAACGGACGGCAAAACTGTATTAGAGTAATATTTAATTTATCATAACCTATTGCCTTAGATTTAATATATTTTTATTATGTAAAATATTTCATCATCTGCAGCTCTTGATCGACATTTTCTAATTGATTGTTCACATAAAAATTGATTAAGTTTGTGAGTCAATTTGATATTTTCCGTTATCCACGGAGCGTCTGACGTTTTAAAGTGGCTTGTTTGTCGAACAAAGCCAAGATACACTGATTCATAAAAGTAACATTATTTTTAAAATTATCGGCATTTCATTGGTATAAAGCAGCAAAAACTGCTGGTCCAGATTCCTTAAACATAACAATAAAAATATCTTTGTTCAACACGGAATAAAACCGCTCACTTTCCGATACCACAGAATGATCTGGCGGAGAAGAGGGTCGGTCTGTCGGCGTTGCTCGTGGATCTGCTCGAGCGGCAGCGAGAGAGGCGGGGCGAACTGCTGCGCACGCTGCGGCGCCTTGATGCGCAGAACGAAAATCGCACGGAAGACTTCTGGCTGCGGCAGTACCAGCGGCTGTTGGACGGGTAAGGGGGGGGGGGGGGGCGCTTGCGAACTGTCGACATCACCGACTGGGAGTGGTCACGTTTAGGTTGCCGGAGGGGCTGGCTCGCGCACAGGCGGACATCGATCCCCGATTGTCCGAATGTTTGCTGATGGAGGGGGCGCTGCACTGCGTGCCGCTTCTGGCAAAGATTGTAAGGGGTCGCGGTGAGTATTATTGATCGATATATAATAATTATTGCCAAAAATTCTTTTTACATAAACTTATGCGAATGTCAGGAAAAACAAACGACGATCGCAAGCTGTCAAAATGACAGCAACATCTTTTTTATTAAATGGAATGCCCTATATATTATTAGCTTAAATAATAGACATTTTTTTCCTGATTTCAAAAACATATAGTTTCAAATGAGTTATACTGAGAAAGAAAAACACCAAATAATAACATTATATTATTCAAACAATGAAAAATATTAATAAATAATGTTAAACATTTTCCACATAACCTCCATTATGTTCTATACATTGGACAATATTTCCTTTCAATTTCCTATTAATACACGAGGTGATAAAATCAGGGTCTTCTGTATAGATCTTGTAAAACGATATTAAGTCTCTCTCTTATCACTTTTAGGTCTATTATAATAAATCTTATTTTTTTAAGTATCCCCACAAAAAATGTCGGAAGGATTCAGGTCGGAGCTGTTGGCAGACCATTTGATAGTTCCTTGCCTACCTATCCAAAGTCTATATTTATTAATTAGATAATTGGTAACCGGTTGGACATTATGTAAAGGTGCGCGTTCTTGATGCCAAATTAAATTTAAATAATTCAAAACTGGCACATTTTCTAAGAGCTGTTCTATTATATTCTATTATTCGCGAACCAAAAATGTTTATTCTTCCTATTAAACACACATGCTGTTGTGAACACAGCCTCGTCCGTAAATATTAGAAAATGTTTATCTTCTTAAGAGCTTCTATACATTTCAGTGTAGAATTCGAGCCTCTGCCTTTTATGTTCATCGGTTAAATTTTGCACTGGAAGGAACTTATACGGGTGAAACTTATGATATTTTAGCGTTCGTTCCACTCCACAACATATTGGATTATTAGCGTATGTGCCATCGGACGTTTCCGTTACGGCTTTGTAAGATCAAATTTCCAACACGCTCCCAAACGCAACAGATACCGCTACGTCTGCTGAATGCGACCATTGCCCGCGTTTTATTAGGTACTTTCACTAAACGTGTTGTGTCGTCTCACGGACTGGCATTTAGGGGACCTTCGAGACGTCACAGACGGAGACCTCATCGATGCAGGTGTGGCCAACGATAACGATCGTTCGAAGGTCCTCGACGCTTTGCACGCGTATTCCGTCGCAGCCGCCATGAAAGACCTTCGTCCGACCGCGCCCTTGCCGGACGCAGGGCCTTCGGCACCCCCCGTCGACGTAGTCGAAGCAATAAGCAGCGTCGAGTGCGTCGTCTGCATGGAACTGCAGGTATCAGCGGAGATAAACGAATCCATAGGAAAGCGACTAAACTTGACGATACTTTGGGAGGAGTGGGGGGGAGTTTCGATGACCATGCACTGAGAGGGAAATAATTTTCGATGGCCAATTTATAACCCCTGCTCTTCTCAAGAACTCCTTAACTTCCTTTAACCATCTTGACCTGGGTCTTCCCCGTCTTCTTTTCCCGCCGCTCGGTACCTCATTATCGATTCTTATTCCATAATTATCGTCTCTTCTCTTATCAAAGATATGCAAAATGTTTATTTATGAGGCCTTTTGTTTTGTTTTTCCTATTTTGATCGCGCCATTATCAGTTTTCTTTCCTCACGGATCATTACTTTCGTTTTCTCTTTGTTTAGTTGCTGCCCCATTTTCTCTCATTCCTTCATATTTTCCATTATTTCCTTTCTCTCATGTTCTGATTCATCCCTTATCGTCTCTTCTCTTATCAAAGTTTTGTACATGTTTATCTTTGAGGGTTTTTGTTTTGTGTTTCCTATTTTGATCTTGCCATTATCAGTTTTCTTCCCCCACGGATCATTAGTTTTGTTTTCTCTTTATTCAGTTGCTGTCCCATTTTCTCCCGTTCCTTCACATTTTCCATTATTTCCCTTCTCTTTGTATTTAGCACGATATGGTTTCATACTCCATTATTTAGCCCAATCATATTCTAATTCATCCCTTATCTTTGTTTCTTAGACCAAGGCTAGGTTAAATAATGTTGCTGTGTGAGACCTTTATTGTGTTTTGGTTAGCCTTCAGTCTTTTGAAATGTGGACTTATTCTCATCACCTTTGGTGCTCTTTTAATTTGCGTTCATGTTCCCTGTAGGATACCCCTGGTATTGGCGAATTGTATTCTTTTTTGAGGGTGGGTAAAACTTTGTAAGCTGCACCTGGGTGCGTTATTCGCATTTTTACTATGTAGCTGACCTCCATTTTTTTAATGTATTGTCGCAACTTTTCCTTCTTTTGACATGTTTTCTCTATTCACTATTCATTTTTCGCGTAATTTAGGAAACTGCGGGGTTGTAACAAGTTTGATAAATATAATTTTAATCACGGGTTTCTTTTGGCACGGGCGAAGCAAACGATTATCAACAGTACGAAATTATTACAAACTAAGTTACATTTGTTTGATAGCAGTTTGCTCAGGTGAAGTTTTTTCCATTGCGGAGTACATTGTAAGTTTGATGATAATTACAATCAAATAAAAAATAAAACCAATGTCATACGATTTGTGTGCTCTCAGATGTTTTCTCTGAGGGAGCTGCCCTAAATTTCGTGGCGAACTTCTTCAGGAAACTCGTAACCAAAAATGTTTATTATGCTTTTTACTGGACAAACGAATAAATTTTCAATAATTGATAATATCCGAAATTTGCAAGTGCAAATGTAGTTACTTACTAACTAAACTAACCAAAGCCGCAATTCTTCCAAGGCGTCCACACACACTGATTGCGTATTGCTCCTGGTATAGGTATAACGAGACCTGCTCATCATACAAGAATTACTTCTGGGGAACTTTATTTCGACCGCTTTTTGATTGCGCATTCCCTCTCAAAAACCGCATGGACAGTAACTGGCGCTATTCCAAAATTAGTTTAAAAATGATACTACAACCCAAGGAATTGACAGGTGTCCACGAAAATCGTCCCTCGTTTTGTCGCTTTTCCTGGGGTTCGTTTTTCTGTGGTGTCACAGTAGCGCGCCGCCCCGCCCTACACTTTGTACCACTTACCGACGTTTCAGTGCCACGTCACCTTCGTGCCATGCGGACATCTGTGCTGCTGCGCGGGCTGTTCTGTGCCGCTGGCGCTCTGCCCCTTGTGTCGCACCGCGATCGAGAGGAAAATATCGACGGCGCCCTCGGCCCCCCTCTAGTCACACACTCGCGGTTTTAAGTCGTTTATCTGTTCGGGGTTCCCGCTAAATTTCCCGATTTTTCCAATTATTTTCGCTTTATTGGCGCAATGTCAGGCGATACAATTATTGAACCATTAACGGGGCAAATATAAAATTAGTTTTTGTATATTTATATAGCGGTTAGCGGGAATCCCGCCTCGCACTCACTCACTTGACACTGCTCGTCAACGCCGTTTTTGTGATATATAACGTTTTTTTTTACACTCGGCAACATTGTCTTTGTAACCTTACAAATAAAAAAAACTTCCCTGCCATCGATGTATTTTTTTAACAAAATAAGAGGTTTCGCCTATGTCTGAATTACTCGTCTACCGTTTGCTCTTCCATGTTAGCGTCCTGTTCTTCGGCCTCTTCTCCCATGGTAATCTCGTCCTCTGCGGTCTTGTTTCCTTTTGTCGCCTTGTTTTTCGCTTTCGCCTCTTTGAACCCTAAAAACGTAAGATTTCGGCCATCATTCTACACCAAGTCAGAAATACAGTTGGTGCCGTTAAAACCGAAAAAATCGTTCAGTTTAATACTTCCTGGTAATAGTTGACAATCTCCCATTGGTTTACCTTTCAGTATCTCCTGCAGCGGGTCGACAAAGTCGTCAAATTCCAACTCTTCTAGCGCCTTAATCACGTCCTGCCCAAGTAAAGTTTTCCGTTTTGCCCTTTGCGCCTCGTTGGAGGCTTGCGATGTTAAGTAAAGAACGAAAACCGAAGCCGCTCTAGAAATTGCCGCCCGGGCATCCTTTCCCACGTTGATCGCTTCTGGCAGCGTTTCCTTTATTATTTTCGCTACCGTCGCGTTCGGCAGATTTAAGTCTTCCAACTTTTCTGCCATTTTTCTTTCGTTCGGTCGTTTTCCCGCAGAAGCCTTTTCTTTGTGAGGTTAGTTCTTCTTCTTTATTTTTATTGGGCAATATTGCTATGATCATTTGCCCATTGCCAACGTAATCCCGCCTCGTGGTTATTGTGAGAGTGTCCTCAACAATAAATAACGGTGTTACAATAAGATAGTTCCCATGGTAGAGTGTCCATTAAAAGCAAAGAAGAAGGAGTCGATTTAACCCGCTGTTTGTGCTTTGACTTTGATCATTTAATTTCGTTGTCAAACGAGAGATGGCGCTTCAACCGTACGCATGTCATCTATTGGTGAGCGCTATTACTAATTATATCCGTGATTTAACGAGAATTGCGGCGCAATCGCATGTGTCTACTTCGGGCTTGCCTCTACTAATCAGTTCTGTGGTTTCCAGGGAGATGACACTGTCTGGAAAACAACCAGATAATTTGAAAAAGTTTTAACATACAAAGTGTTCTGCTCAAGTCAGAGAATACCACAACTACATCTGTTAGTCCGTGTTCAATTTTTGTTCGATGATTGAAGGAGGCAGTTTGAATTATTTGAAAATAAATTGCGATGGCATCCTTAAATAAAAATTTTGAGGTATTAATTGGGAGACTTAAGGTAGGCAGAAGTGAAGATGTTGTTGAATGGTTTAAATGTATTAAATAAAACTATTACAATGTAGGCAGCTCGGGGACATATGCCCCAGACAGTGCGAAGAAGGGATTGGCAATGGTTTGGGGCCCCTGCGGATCTAGAAGCTAATTTAATTAAAAAGATTAAGTTTTGTCTCGAAGAAGGATATACCAATTTAATTACCAAACACGTCAGACTCACAGGTTGATTTTTACACCCTTTAGCGTACAAGATTAATAATATTTATTTTCAAGCAAAACTGAATACTTTACAAGAAAATATTTCAAAACTCACTTCGGAATTAAATGATGTAGTTAGTGAATCTGTGAACGCCAAGAAGGAAACAATTCGTAGATTTGAAGAAGGAAAAAAGTTGCAGCAGAATGCATATGATACCCAAATAAAACAAAAAGAAATTGAGCTTGCTAATGTAAAACGGGAGAAGGAACTACAAGGTAAATTTAGTTTTAAATTCTAGGTAAAATTGCCCAAAATGTAATTATCAACTTACCAATTAGCACATCAACTGCAGTGCAATCTAGAAATGATCGAATCTAGCTTAATGCTGCGGCACGATGAAATGGAGACGGAATTAACAAAACAGTTGATCGATTTAAATTCTAAGGTCAGGCATATTAAAAATGGAAACGAAGATATGCTGGTGGAAATAAGTCATTTTGAAAATCGACAGGTATGTCATTGTCGTATAATCCGCGTTGAAAATTAAAATTATAAAATTTTGCAAGTTGGACCATCTCGAACACATCGTTCTGGTCAGTTTCGTTAAAGATATTTTCAATTTTAGCGAATGTTGGAAATTAATAATGTTGATAAAATAAAAATAGTCCAAGAAGATTTGAATAAAGATTTGACACAGTTCTTTGATGAAGAACTGATAACCCTAACAAAATCTCCCAGTAATGCAGATAAAATGGAGGAGGTAAAACCGCCACCATTATTGCCCCCGCTGGTAGTTGAAGAAGTTGTTACCAAGGCCAAACACCCAAAGCAGAGTGCAAATGCAAAGAAAAGTAATCTGATGAAAAAGAGAAAAATATATCGAGCTGAAAACAGAGAACATATTGAAATATTACCAGTTTATGAATAAAGTTTAAACCAATTTTTTCTATTTTACTTACAAAGAAAACTTTACACATACAAAGAAACCTTAAATAAGAAACATTTCAATAAAAAAAAAGTTATTACATAAGGATGAGTTTTTCATAAAACCGTATTCCTTAGCAGGCACTATTCTCCTCCCATTTATACTGTACGTAAAATAATGTGAACACCCGAATCAGTAAACACGGGCTCAGACAACTCTCCCACCTTCAAACTAAATGCAGCATCCTCGAAAGCTTTTTGCATCGCCCCTCGACCGAACGGCCCTAAGTCACCGCCCCGCTTTGCCGAGGAGCAATCGGAATATTTGGAAGCCAACTCGGCAAATGATGCCTTACCTTGAGCAATTTGTTCTCGATATGCTGAAATGTAAACAGTTCGTAATATCCCGACATGTACGCTATGCAAAACGAACATTTTACTAGTTCCAGTGCGTCCTCCTTGGAACGGCTGATTTTCTCTTCCCGCCAGGAAGAAGGACGCCTTGAGTCCTTGTGTTTAACGAGGAGATGCGAGCACTGTACCTGTTCGGGACCCGTCGAACTTATGGGCTCCGCCGGTTTTTCCGGCACGTCCCATTGCGATTCTTTGGTGTAGATGTTTAGGTAATAGTGCTGGCCTACACCAAATCACAATAAATTAAACCATTGCAGAAAAACTCTCGAATTTAAGAGAAAAACTACGCTTTAGGATGTTTTCTTTGATATCGATATATTGGTAGGAAATATTTTAACACTATTTCCTAATCAAGTTATTTATTTCTTACCGGTAGACCGACTCAAACGTTTTTCCCAACCCGCGGGCAATTGCTCGTCCGCCATTTTCGAATCGCAGCATAGATCGATTTTTGGCATATCATTTCGGGGTGTTGCCGGCACTGAATAGTGGCAAATGTTTAGAATGCCAATGGTCAAGTGGCTTTTATTGCTTCTGGATATTTGACGAAGAATTGACGTTTCTGGCAGCGAGCTATGTTGGCATTCGGTCCTAATTGTTGTGGCGTGTAGGCTCGTTTTAACGCGAATCCGCAGCTTTTAAACCGCGTTCGTATTTTATTTTGTTTGTTATACGAATATTCTGAGCGCGATCGAAGTGAACGTAAACAAGCATGGGACATTTCTAATTTGGGTAAAAGTCCAACTGTAATGCATAAATAGAACGTATTTCAACCAAGGCGATCCACATTTCTGAAACGCGTGCCGAAGGAGAAGGTACGTTACGTTAGAAATCCTTTTAGATATAAATATTGTAGTTTTTAAGTATCTCATTGCTGTAGGTAGAGTGACTCACTTCTAAATTCCCGTTAATGATCTAACTTCTTTCATTTGGTATTTTGATGGTAACGTCGTTGCTTTCTATTTTATAAACGGTACGTTCCTCTTTCGTCCGTAATAGTGCTACCTGCTATAATTAATTGTTAATTAGCTATGCACTTTCCACAGCTGTTATAACTGATTGGTTAATGTGCGTACGTTTTTACTTTTTACTCAATTATATAAAAACGCTTCGTCAATAATAATAAGTTAATTTGCATTTTTGACGGATTTCTGATTAATCCCAAAACAAACGTTATGGTAGGCGGTTTATTAAAGGGTTTCATATGCAAATTTCGTATGAATAATTTGGTCTGGACCATTGCCAACCGACTTCCATGTAAGAGAATACGAAAGCCGTTACCTATCTGGCCAACTGTCAAGATAATCTGCGTTCACTTGTAGGCGTATTACTAGTTGTCCGATTACGCTTGGAAATGACATATCGGTGTTTGCTCTCCCGTTTCCCATGTAAAAATTCGATGTTGTGTTTGCGAAAAATTGTTTACGGTCAACCTGGCGCGACGAAACACACAATAGTTACAAAATCACACATTATTTTTTGTTTTAGGCATACGGTTATTATTTTAAAGGTGGTTCACCTGTACGATGTTTGACGACTTGAAATTATATCGGGTCGCTTTTGCTGACGGGGGAAATCGATAATTAAAACACAAACGTGGGCGGGATCGTAATAAATGAACATATTTCATTATCAAAATAAAATTTGCCTGTTTTGTGGCGTATGTCGGAAAGTTTAGTAGTCCTGATATTTTTTATAGACAATATTTACCTAATTGGTAGATACATATTTTTGAATACAGTCAAAACTCTATATAGCGAAATTGAAGGGACTGCTTTTTTTTGTTGTAAAGGCTTTTCGTTATAAAGAGTTATAGGCACTTGAAAAATAACAATACGCAATACGCATTTTATATAAATATTTAAGAACTATATTTAATATTTCAAATAATCGGTCATTTTCTTTTGAATTTTGGTCAATCGGCTGTAATACGCTTGTTGTTTTGGCTAGAAGAAATGCATATTCATTATTCCGTAGGTTTGTAATATGGGAATGGGCGGGGCAGTTATCTAAGAGAAATAATATATTCCTCCCCTTTAATTCTGCATCCCATTTCCGTATCTCAGCAAATGCTTGATGTTCTTAGTTGATTTTCCAATCATGACTAGCTTTCTTTTTTCTCGAAATTTAAGAGTTTTATCTGGTGTCATTTTGTAAAAAAAAAGTTTCGCCAGCATTAAAAATGTCATCAGCAGGGTACTTTTCTGCTAGTTTTGGCCACGTCTTCTCCAGCCAATTGTTAGTGACATTTCTGTCGACATCACAGGCTTCGCCACTTATCTGTCCATAGTTTATACCATGTATCTGTTTGAACTTCCCCAACCATCCTTCCGAAGCCTTGAAATCGATAAGGCCAAACTGTTCAGCAAATTTTTCTGCTTTTTCTGGATTAAATTTTGGGCTGTCTCAAACTATTTATACATTATACATGGAACTCCGTTTATAAAGTACCCTCTAGGGACCAGAAAATGAGTACTATATAAGCGGAGGTGCGCTATAAAAAAAACACAAAAAAAATTATGTTACTACGCTACTAAATTTAAAAAGTAAAATATAGGATGTTCGATTTAAAAAAAAACAAATTTGCTTTTTTTTACTGTTTTCACCGGTTAAGCGCTCCTGCGTCTTAGTGAACTCATCTACAGCAAACTATTGCATGGGACTATCGTGAACAACCGACATCTCGGCTATCTACGATTTCAAAAAATATTTTCGTGTTTCAATAATATACGTCCCAATTAAAATATCAAAAGCGATGTTTTTTTATTTTCGAAAAAGTGGCACGACGCTGAAAATTCTCTGAAATCTCCATGTATTCCTACGTATTATTCTATTCTATATGATAGAATAGATAGGTAATAGATAAACGAAGGAGGTTCTGTAACAACATAACCTTAAAAACTTACTTTAACTTTAACGTCGAGCGAACTAGTATATTAAATCAAATAGGTAACGACGGTTAGATATGAAGAATGATGATGCCACGTGCGCTGGTATGCACGACTCACTTTTTTTTTTTCGCTACGGAGGATCATTTTTTGGTAATAGACAGGAAACATAGACACCTATCTATGGATATGGAACCATCGGACAAAATTTGCATTGTTGTCTCAAAAATGATCTTAAATTGGAGTTGTCCAGCTTTTCAAGTGGTATATTGGCTTCATTGAATGCCTTATATTGAAGTGAACATGTTCACTGTTTTTTTCCCAATACAAAACGAATTTTAAAAAATCTTTCCTAGTTCTACCAAATAAAATTTTTGTTAAAAATGTGCTTAAACACGCAATTATTACTATTATACCAAATCTTTCCTTCTTTACCATGTACTGGAAAACAAAAAATGTGAAAATATGGTTTATACTTGCAATAAAATCCAATAAATTCCCTGTTGTTATACAAAACAGTTAGTTACAATTTGTCTGACTGATGTGGTAATGGCGACGAGTCTAACATAGAATCAAAGAAAACTCTCGTATATCATATTTTACAAATTAGTTGAAAACATGTTATTCCAATCTTCGTACGAGTGATTCATTAAATTTTGTAACGGTCACGGACCATAAATAGTGGTGACGCGGACTTTTGACAACTGTCAGTCGTCAGATTGGTTATTTTCCGTTCTCCATGCACCGCGAAAGTTTTGTAATTCATTTTGTTGATTCTTCACCGTGTAACGTTTTATTTTGTTTTCGGGATAAACTTAGTATCTTTTGGGCTGAGCCGACTCTGGGATACGATACGATGCCTCTTTTTCCCAGTGTGGTTTGGGCTATAGCCGTAGAGTGGCTAATAAAATAGAGAAACACGGCTTAAACGTAATAAAATCCTACAAAACAGGACTGGAATGTCGACCTCTTTCTATCAGGAATTTTATAGGGAAACGGCAAATACGAGGAATCAATAATATTGTGGAATAATATCGCCGTAAGTGTTACACCCATTTGTAACGTAACATAATATGTTACGCTTGTCCCGAGGGCTTTTTATTTTCACGCATAGGGCTCCACCCTTTTCTGCAAACAAGGCGCGTTCAATAACACACACTCTACGGACCCTGTGTTGGAACAGGCAGTTATACTTCGACCAGAATTATAGTGCTGTTACAACCGACCTCGTGATTAACTTTGCCTACTGTTTATTACTCCAAAACTGCAGCCCCTTATAGGATACCCTGCCGAGCATTCCAAAACTGCCTTAGGAATTTATATACCTACGCTAACATGCGGGATATAAGTCTTTCAAACTTTTTGGCCGTGCAATTCTTAAAACATGAAGATAAAAAAATTAGTACAAAGTAACAACTTATTACGTTCTATGTCACTTGTTTTTATTTCTGCTCCTACTTCTCCTTCTGAATTTCTTATAAAATTGTAGACGTTCAAAACAATTTGGTTAGCATCGGAAGACAAATGCGTCCGTTTTTTTATTTGCTGAGGTAGTTCGTCTTCTAAATTGTCATTAGGTTCGACTACCATCTCCACTTTATCTTCAAATTCTGCGTTATTTTCCATGTCTTCTTCTAACTTCTGCTTCATTCCACGGTCTCCACATTTTAAAGTGTTAAAAAAAACAGGAAAAATGTTTAATTGTAAGATTTTAATAAATATTTATCTTTGTTTTTGTGACGTATCTTTATCTACTGCGATATAATCTATAAAAAGATTGTTGTTGTTTGCAAATCGAAGAACTATGTAGAAGACACAAAAATACTAGAAGAAGAATGTTGTTAATTTTTCAAAAAAACTTCCACGTTCCATCAATACAAAATTGCATATAAAATGCCAGGAGTTTACAGCATTCCATGCATATGAGGCAAAGAGGCATTGGCATTGGCATTGGGGAGACCGGACGAAAAATATCAACTAGGCTCAAAAAACATGAAAGAAAGAAAATCATTTCAAAAGTCGAGTCTATCCTAAACAAACTGCCATATCAAACTAAACTAACCAAAACCTCCTAAATCCCTCCGAAATGCTACGGTGGTCATGAACACAAACGAATATCAGGAAAAGATTCAAGATATTCTTACAGAAGGATCATATCGTCAAAAAAGATCCTACGCCATCTAAGGAACGCATTCTCTATCAGACTTCGTGAAAAAATCTGTCACCCCTAAGGACTCTAAAATTCGTGGTCTCTGCGGCCTTCCAAAGATTCATAAACCCGGTTTTCCCCTTTAGCACCATTGGTTCTCCAATATAATCTCTAGCAAAATGTCTAGCTTCCCTTTACAGGGATAACTGACAGTTTTCTCTTCACTTCATTGAACAAATAAAAAGCATTACATTAGATACACAACATATTTTGGTTAGTTCCGACGTACAATCCATCCTTCCTAAAGTTCCTATTCCTGAAACTTTCACCATCATTCCAGATATATTAAAATGCGAGAATCTGGAACCAAACCTTCTCACATTTATTAAAAAATGGTTCTCTCGAACATATTTTTCTTATAACGG